CTGTCTGGGTGACCTTGATGGTCGGTACACGAATGGGGTGTGCGCCCCAAGAGCATGCTGACCACAATGGACATGGCAGGCCGAAAAGACGGGGAAGGGTTGCTGACCACAGTGGTCCACCAGCTCGAGGAGAGCTGTTCGGTGGGGATAAAAGAACGATGTGTCTCCTGCACCACATAGGCCTACCACATAAAAGAACGATTAACACGAAATGTATCCATGAATATGATGACACAAATATAACGTATATTACTGTTCGGTGGGGATACTACTCTTCGTTCTCAAGTTGCTATCATCAGTTGATTTTTGTCTTAAACCTGAATTTTTTTGAACAGTCAGCGTTGTACACCGAAACTGCCCGAATGTTGCATACCCAATCCAGAAGGTAGAGGAAGTCCTGTTTGGGGCGACAGTTGGCGTTACTCTTTCCATTCACAATATCCAACGCGACCATGCCAAAGCTGTAAACGTCTGCCTTGTCCATCCAGCAACCAACCCTTCCTGGCATATTCAGTAGCCAAATAGCCCCTCGAGGAAAAGATGCCAAACGCTCGTCAGCACAAGAGACAATGATCCAAAACTAAAATATGTGTTTTTCCTATTAGATTAAGCGAGGGGTACGTACGATTTTACTGTATGATTAATATTGCTAGTCGATAGAGTTATTTCTTTATAATTATACCCATTGAGACTTAATAGGTCTACTTAATATCCATTAAGTCATAATACAAATATGTTCTTTTTATATCCTTAAGTGAAGTATGAGCCATGCCCATTAGTATGTAAGTCTATTTTTGAACAGACCAAACTCACTGAAATAAGAAGTTGCGATTTTGTTTCTTCCTCTCTAAGAAACACTAGTAGATTGGGTGGTGGTTGGAAGATCCTTTAGAGGAGAAGAAAGGAATCTGATTCTAACATGGTATCAGAGCAAGGTTTAATTTACATACCTTTGTGCTCTTTCTCTTTTGTAAAGAGTTATTTCTTCTAAGGTGTTGTGCCAAGATTTGTAATTAAAGAGGATATGGCTTCTAGCGATGAATAACAGTCCTCTGTGCATGTTATCTCTACAAATCTACTTGTAAGGAAAGAGTATATGTTTATTAACTTACCTCCAATTCTAGAGCAACTCAGGTTCAATGAGAAAAACCTATATCAATAGGAGTAGTATTAGACTGCCCTTGAAAGCAAATGTTAGCCGATCATCTAGAAGAGATACTATTGGATAGAATAGATACATGATTCAAGAAATAGAGGACAAAAGAGGCATTGATCTATTCTTGGCTTCTCAGAACTATGTTCCTAGAGATATATGAAGATTTCCTTTATATGAAATCTGTCAAAAAATTATGAGATCAACTTCAGACTAGCTGCAGCAAGAAACACAATGATTGGCATGTTTACGAACTTGTCAATAACATCAATCATCTTGTCCAAGGGGACAAAACTGTAATGTAGTATTCAAGTGCTCTTAAGATCATATGGTGCCAAATTGATCATTATGGCCTTTCAGAAAATTCTCAAGGTGAGGATAGATTGTTCACAATAAAGATGAGGTTGTATGGGTTCTTTATGGGCCTCAATTCAAAATATAAAAGCAAATGGAGCCAGATTCTCTATTGAGAGGTAATTCCTAACCTTGAATAATGTATTCAACTTGTTAAAGATGAGGAGAATAAGTTGAATCTTCTACCTACGACTTAAAGAGAAGAGTCAATGGCATTTGTCATCAAGAAAAATAATACAAAATCTCATGTTTAGTCTAAAATTGAGATAAAAGAACAAGGTCTAAGAAAATCTTGTAAGGTAGATGAAAGAGATAATCTATGGTACTCTTATTATCAAAGAAGAGGCACACTAATAAAATGTGCTGAAAAATTCATGGTAAGCTCAACCAAAAGAAAGTCCATATTGTTGTATCACCATGTAGAGACAATAACTAAATAAAAACTATTGTTGAACAGCTTGCAAGCAGCACACGAGTTCAAGCAAATGACTTTATGAAGCCGCAAGAGGAGATATAAAAGCTTAGGGGAATACTAAGCTCTACATGCATGGTCAAATTTGTTAAACACAAAGCTTTGCTTGGTTCTCTCATATCTTCTCAATCTCTTAGATTACCATAGATAATGGACTATAGTGATATTGATCATATGGTGCCAAATAAGGTGAAATTCACCACTTATAGAGAATGTGGTAGTGAAAAGAAAGTTTTCAAACATGAAGAAAATTATTACCAGTTGTAGGAATCGGAGATCATACTATTTGAGGTCTTGGTACATTGAAAAGTGTCTTGCATGTTCCCTACTTGAAAACACATTTGATATCTCCGTAAAAGATATCTCTTATAGATTTATTCTTGATGATGATGAGTGTTATTTATTTCATAAGGTGATGAGTCAAGAGGACTAGACATGTTAGAGAAGATGGAGCATTACTTTATCTTGATGAGGAACTCACCACTTGCCTCTCAACAGAAGGTGAAACTCGTGGAGATGTTGAGAAGAAGAAGATGAATCAAGCTTTACTCAATCACTGTCAACTTAGGCATCTACCTTTTGAAATATTAAAGACATGGTATATATCTATTTTTGGTGTAATAGGTATTAAAACTCTATTTTGTGAAGCATGTCAATTAATCAAACATAAATATTTTATGTTTGAAAATGTGGGTGAGAGGAATTTGATTTCATTATACCAAATGCATAGTGATGTGTGGGGGCTGAGTCAAATAGTAAGTAAGAAAGTCTACAAGTGGTTCAACATATTTACAGATGATTGTACCCGATTCACATGGATGAATTTACTTAAGTCGAAAAGAGAAATTAGGGAGACTATACGATCATTTGTGGAGATGATTGAAAATCGATTCAGGATAGTAATTAAATGTTTCAAATCAGACAATGTCAAAGATTACTTCAACTCTATGGTTACTTAACTCTTTGATAAGAAAGGGATTATACATGAGTCATCATGTGTAAATACTCAACATAATGAGTTAGTTAAGAGGAAGATTAACCACATCGTATAAACTGCTCAAGCTCTATTATTTCAATCTCATCTACCCAAAACTTATTGGAAAGAATCAATATTTTTTAAGAAAATTAAGATCTATCATTTTCTTTTTTAATTAGTGATTCCACATATTCAAAAGTTATTACAATATCATTGGACTTGAAAATAATTATAATACTACTTTTTCTTTAATATTTTATGTAACACCACCTTTAATCTAAAGATCACGTATGATTTTAATTCAATCAAATCAACTTTGGCAAAAATTATTAAAATTATTTGATATTAGAAAAATAAATTTTTTAATGTGAAAATTTATCCAAAGAATACAAATCCACAGAAAATTCTTCCCCTAGTTGTAGTCACTATTCCAATGATTAGAGCAAAAGAAAAAATTATGTTCTTGACCTAACTTGCTGAAAGTGTCTGATATTACTTGGACTCTAAGATCTAACTTTTCCTATTTCTAAAAATAACTCCACACGTTTAAGAAGCAATTAAGACATTATTTAACTTGAAAAATATTATTTCTTCTTCAATGTCTCATTTAAGACCACTTTTAATTCTAGATATCATGTATAATTTTAATTCAATGAAATCAACTCTCAATGATAATCTATAAAAAAATTTGACATATTTTAATACAAATATGTTACCTTGGTTGTAATCTTGAGATTCCTAATAAAAATTAATGTATGTTAGGAATTAAAGATTTTAATAATTTCTTTATTTTATCTCAACTATGAACTAAACCTTTGTCTAATTTCACACAAGTGAGTTGATGCTAGTCTCACCAAGCATATGATTTACCCTTTAATTAATATACAACTAATTTCACATATTTTTTATCACTAATTTTCATGTATAGAAAACTTTTTCAAGCTTTAGTATCTAGTCTAGAAATTCTTCATTTCTTTAATGACCACTAAAATTAAAAAAATATTTTTTAATACAAAAATCCTAATTTTCATCATTTTTAGATCACCTTTTTGAATTAGCTATGTTATTGATATATTTTTCTGCATTTGACACATGAAATCATTTTCCTTTTAAGTATTTTAGACTATTGAATAAAATATTAGAATACTCATGCAAAATATGATTTGCTATAAAATATCATTTTTATTTTTTATTTTTTATCAATATGTTCTTGTAATTTAAAACATTTTATTCATCTTCATTGATTTGCACCCCATTATCTCAAATGTCTTCAGAGTCAAATATGGAACACAAATCTTTGCGTCTAATGTCAACTGAAGCAGCTAGACCTGCTCGAAGAATTTTTTTTTGTCATTGAATTCACAAGATATGAAGTTCTAGTGAAAAATTTATATGCTAAGTATACATAACTTAAACCTCAACTCTTAAATCCACAAGATCAATGAGTTACTTTGAATCCACAACTAAGTCACCAAAATACACCAGCAAGGAGATAAAATCTTGAAAATTTTGTCATTGAATTCACAAGAAATGAAGTTTTAGTGAAAAATCTATATGCTAAGTATACATAACTTGAAAACCTCCACTCTTAAATCCACAAGGGAACAATCTTGAATCCACAAGATCAATGGGTTACTTTGAATCCACAACTATGTCACCAAAATACACTAGCAAGGAGATAAAGTCTTGAGAATAATCTTTTTTAAATACTCAATAATATCTCTAGGGCAATGATGTAGAGTCTTTACATAGGTCGAGATTCTATTAGGACAATCCTAACTAGGTGGCTTTGTTATGACGGTGCCTGAAAACAGATTAAAGGCACATTTAAACAAATTCACAATGACTATACATAGGAAAGTAAATGAAAAAGGAGAAAATTAATCTTCAATACATTTATGATATATTTTACTATGGGCCATATCAGCTATTGGGCCAACTTGTATCTTTAATCCATTCTTCACACCTTCTAGGCTTCCAGTCCACTAGATTTGGATGATGGATGGCCTGCATCACTATGCCAAACAAATCACATCCCACCATTTTCAATGGCTTCGCTTCTCAGGCAAAACCATATATGACAAAAAATCCCCAGAATCAATGACACAATTGAAGCAACAACTCCAATAATAATGCCAACCGGAAACTTTTTGGCCCTGAACAGACGAGGTGTGAAAGCTACAATGCAAAAAAATAATTAAAATGGATCAATTAGATGATAAAGAGAGCAGAAAACATCTCCATGTACGTACTCGGTGTTACTGAAATTGCTGATATAAGAGGGCCGTAGACGCCTGTATATGGAATGGAATTCGTCCCTTTGCCAGACCACACGAAATGGATCTCCAATGTGCCGCCCTCTACAGGGGCAATAAAATTCCTTATGACTTCTTTACCAGTCCCATTGGCTGCTTCCGCAATGTTAAAGTCTCTCAACACCTTTTTTCCCTGTTTCAATGCGGAAAGTTTTATCAGCTGGATCAACATAAGACTTGGTTAAAAAAATATAAACAAAAAGCCTACACTAGAGAACACAGACCCAATTTACAACTAGTAACAGGGGGGGACAGCAACTGTATGATAATGCACAGGTACTCACAAAAAAATATAGATGAAATTAAAAAATGGAATAGCAGAATACCAATAAACACATTTGAAAAGTGATTTCTTCAGTGACAACCGCATGTATGAACAAAGCTTGTATAAGAATCAACACATCACACAAAATCATGAATGATAATGAACTTGTGGGATAAAGTAATCAAAAATAATTTTCTGGAAGAAATTGAAAGGAACATCCCAGATGTCTGTAAGAAAAGAACAAGAATAATTTATAGGCATTCATCAAGATCTTAAGTCAAAAGAATCCAAATCACCTGGACTGATACGTCAAACACACGCCTTCCAAGACTGGCAAATGTTGGGCCAGAAGTAAAAACTATTTCAGCAAAGTGCAGTTTGACTATATAATTTCCTGGCTGCAAGCATAGACCATAGTATTTGAGAGAGAGAGCATTCAAACGAGCAGAAGTGTACAATTCTGCGTTAGGCATTGTCAATGTTGACGCATTTCTACTAAAAATCGTTGCTGCCTTCCCCCAATAAAATTTCCTGTACTGCTATATGCCCACTTTCCACTGCTAGAAAGATAATATTTGGATGTGCCTTCCAATGAAAGGTCAGGTTCATATTCATTTCCGTCAACAGTCACACTTTCACCTCCACAATTTATGAAAAGGTTATAGTCTGCAGAAATTCCAAAAGGCCAAATGAAAAAAAATAAAGAAAGCGTCATGTTCAAAATTCAAACTTTCAAATCATAAGGGTATTTTTCTCTAAACCCGTAAAAGTATAAGTCAAACGGAAAAGGTAAAAATGCTGTCTCATGGAAAGTTTATACGTACTTTTAGCTCTGACATCACAGGGGAGATCCTTTCTTAAACATGACGCTATCCTACAAAGGACAAACGGAGAGAGTGAATGCTTTAGACACCTGATCTACCCAGAATATACACTTTACAATTTCAGAAACCTACGAGTCACTTGTTGTCGAAGAAAAGCTGGCAACATAGTTCCTGCAAGTTAGGTAAACCTCGTTTAATTCCAGAAGAAAGAATTCAACTCTATAGGTCTTCCGGAAAAAAGCCATGCTTACTGTGATTCTTGCTGACAGTTAGCTGGTGCAGATGAAAGATTGGTGAATGTATTGTAGGAAATGTCTCTGAAATTTTAAACATTATATTATAATGATGATTCATACGCAAGAAAAAATAATAGGACAGAAATGCGAAACAATTTCAAGCAGACAAACGTACATATTCTTTGTGGTTCTTTTAATCCAATCAGGTATTGATCCAGTAAGTTTGTTGCCTAAAAGGTACCTGATTATACAAAATCAACACCAAATGTGGAATATAATAAAATTATCCCGAAAATATTCCATACAGAGCAAAAGGTACCAGTTTCCTGATTTTCGGTCGCTTATTCAGTTGAATCATTGAGTAAAGTGAAACCATAATCACTTACATAGTTTCTAAGGATCTGAGATTCACAAAGTTTTCTGGTATTTCCCCCGTGAAATTATTAAAGCTCAGATCTCTGCAGAAGAAGTCAATAAAAAAAAGTGAAAATTCGGGACGAAATAATTGTTCTCCCTATTACCAGCCAATATGATTTCCAAGGTCTTCTCAAGTTAAAAGGTAATGCTTCTTATAATCTAACAATTATGAGAGCGAGAAAAATGAGTGCATGAAAATCAGTATTGCGGGAACGTGTGTCAAGTAAAGATGACGTCAATAAAATTTGTACTTTTATGTCCAAAAGAGTAAATAAAGAAGTATCCAAAGTAAGATAACATCAACGATTTTTGTATTTTTATGTGCAAAGGAGTATAGAAATTAACTGAAAAATAATCCGAATGGGTTTCAATATTGAAGTTACTAAAAATTACCAGCTTTTTAAGGGTTATTCACAGAGTAGATACTATGGAATACTGCTCAAGGTTGATACCGCTACACAACTAACGGCCAGATTCTCATTTATTTAAGTACGTTGCACCCCAGAGTTAAGCGGAAATCTGAATCATTTTCTGTATCTCTGATAAGTCGACTTCCTTTGCTGGTATATGATGTCTAAATTTCTCTACTAAAGGTTTTTTAGCCAATCTGTGGTGAAGAGGGAAATTGACCAAAAATATGATTTGACCCACCACTGACAACATCAATGGTGATGTGCATGCTATCATCAGACAAGGCTAGCTCAATCAAATATCTCAACCAAGGTCGATGCCTAAACTTCCATTGGGAAATAAAGAGACCAGAAAAGAAGATTATACTCAAATGCAGGTTCACACAACATAGGAGGTACTCCATAGGTCTCTAGGGAAGTTCTCGTAGACCTTGCTCAACCATGACATAAAGTTGCCTATCACATGCAGAAGTTCAAACCCAGTGCAAAGATGCACCATGCCTCCACTTGTTCAAGGCATCATTGAAACTGATGGAATTCCGTTTTCGGCCAAACTTGGTCAAATGTGATTTTTTTTGAAGCCATATATGATTGTCTCAAAACAATCAAAGATGGCTTTTAAAAAAATATCTCAAAACAATTTCAAATCTGAGCATGATTGCACTCGATCAAAAGATTACGCAACATTTGGGTTCAAGGCGCAATACAGGGATTGGAGTTTAGTAAATTTGCCAATGTAGTCCGGGATGATGCCAGATATCGAGCAATTTCGGAGAACCTTGTAGTTTTCACACGGAAAACCTGTCAATAAATCATCAAATATCTGTTCATGCGGGTGGATAAATATCATCTGTAGTCTTACAATTGTTGCATATTTAGCATTTTCTCAAGGGGAGGGAAACTGCCGCCTGGATTTTTCAGGTCAGAGACTCTCCTACAAAAGGAAAGCCAACTTAGTGACTATCACTACAGTGCACTAACCAAGACAACTGCCCGGAGTGGAGGAAAAGTGTAAAGTCACGCGTACAACTCCGTTAAACTCTGCAAAAACGACAATTCCGGTGGAAAGGGACCCTCCATAAATGTTCCTTGCATGTCACTGCAACATCAGAAAACGTATTACATAGCCCATGAGAATGCCGTGCAGTAAAGGCATCCCTTTCAAATGATAAACTGTTTTGGGAAAAGATAAATGAAGACAGCTGAGCTTACAGTCTTTCTAGTTTCGTCCAGTTCCCAGTGAAGCTTGGTATCTTCCCAGATATCTCGGTCCCGTCCAACCTACTGAAAAAAATTCTCCGGCACTGATTATTAGCACTAAGAGGACCTTCTACCCCATGAAACAGTCCAAACAATGTAAGAGTAGGGACCGTACACGTCTATCAAGTTCTTCAAGTTACTCAATGTTTCTGGAAGCTCACCGGAGAAGTTGTTGCCAGAAAGAAAACTGAAATGACGTGATGCGCTGTCAATTTTTTTCTTTAACTAGTCACATAGGGTACAATCAGTCTGACTACAATTTTTTCTCGTCTTTGATTGACGTAAAGACAAGAGAAGAAATTGTAGGTAGAACAATAAACCATAAACTAGAGTCTTACAGTCTGCTTAAATTGGTCAAACTCCCAAGGCTATGAGGAAGAGGCCCTTGCATCATGTTGCTCTCCAAGAAACTTCAGGTAAAGCATTGAAATAGGAATAAAACATGTCGTTCAACATCAAATATCAATGTACAAAACCGGTTGGTGCATAAAATGATTCCTACGAAAAGTATATATAATCATTACAGTATTTCAAGCGTTCCAATGCTGCCTATCTCCTCAGGAATCGCACCCGAGATACGGTTCGCCAGAAGGTTTCTGCAACGGTACGCAACAAAGCCCTTGGTTAGATCCACTACCACCTAAAATCCTTCCGTTGACGGGGAACTAAGGATCGGAATAGTGGTGATTTACAAGTTTTTCAAAGGAAGGGAAGTCCAATTAGCGGCAGGTATGGAGCCGTTGATGTAGTTCCGAGAGAGATCACTGCTCAGTGCCACCAATTCAGAGGATACGAAAATTGAGAGCGGAGATGTTCAGTTTTTCCTCAAAGTTCGAAAGAAAGAATCGAGAAAAGAAGAATTTTGGGCGGCGAACGTACATCCAGGATAGGTGACTGAGCCTGCCGAACTCCTCCGGCAGCACTCCGGTCAGATTAGCCGCCTTGATATCGCTGAGCGCAATTTCGTCCGGACAAAAACGAATCAGCTACAGCCGGGCATAGACAATACCAGGAAAGGGAATGCCACCCAGGAGGGGACAGCGGCAGGGGCATACATGCGGACAACATGCCAGACGGTGGTCTTTGTGGTCGCGTTCGTGGTGATCGTGCTGAATTCCTCGCAGGTGACATTGTGGACGTAGGGGTCCCTGTCTTCCTTCGTCCACTGAGTGCAAGGATCTACGTCGAATTTCTACAGCGTCGCCGGAATCTTCAGCTTTGAAGCGATCTGCTTGAGTGCCTGGACTGTACGTTCCCGCGCAGTGCCCTCAGCGTGCCGTTAGAACTTGAATATATCTATATCTATATATATATCTATATATATATACATACATATATATATATATATATCTAGCGAGAGAGAGAGAGAGAGAGAGGAAACGGTGAGAGAAAATAAATAAATAAATATTATATTTTTATATACTGAATAAATAAATTCCTAAATTCGGGATTACTGCGAATAGTATGTTACTATGAAATCGAGGTCGAAGATGGTTCCGTATCTGAATATGTTTGGAATTTTTTCTGATTCCTGAGGGAATTTTCTTACTCCATGCGGGCCGAGAGAGAAAATATTCTTCCCATTTAAGATGAAAAAAGCTGAGCGATGGTCGCCAACCCCCAAGGTTGAGAAGACGAGCTAAGAACAGAGTCGGAGAGAGAGAGAGAGAGAGAGGAGTTTCTGGCGAGTCCATTACGAGGAGGAGCGGAGCAGAGGAGAGTGGTCGTCGTTATAACTCACCTTCCTCCTGGGGGAGAGTCTGCCCGTAGGTTCCCTGTCTCTGGAGACAGAAGTTCAGGGTCGCCGCCAAGAGGAGGAAGGAGAACAGAGCTCGGGGGAGCGCCGCCGGAGAAGCTGCTCTCATCTCGCGCCTCGTCCTCTTCGCGACGCTTTCAGGTGGAAGAACAGGTAGGTGGGGGAGAAGAAGTGAAGCAAACTGGAAAACCCCGGGATCTCCTCGCACGGGTGGGAGGGAGGGAAGCAGGACCGGAGATGGCGCCTATACCGTGCGGCGTAGACCGAGCACAGAGACGCATGAAATAAGGAGAGGAGGGAGCCTCTGACTTGGCGGCGCCCCCAGCATGCAGGAATGCGTCGGCAGGGGAGTTGTCCGAGTTCAACGGCTTACCAGCGGATACATAGGGATTATAAAACTCTTCCTCCGCGTGCAGGTCCGGCGGTGACGACCGCCAACCGAGGCTGCTGACGCCAGCCGGGGGGGGTAGGAGGAAGGGTGCAGGTGAACTTGGCTGAAGATTTCCGAGAGAAGGGTTTGATTGGCGGACCCTGCCATCCTTCGGGCTTCCCTCTCCACCAAATGCATAAATTAAGGTGATAACTTTCGGTTTTGGGTTTGACGATGATAGCGAAATAAATGGCGACGACTCCTACCTTCTCCAACCCCGGCACCGTCGCTAAGTATGGCGAGAGCCTTAGTGAGCCTCTTTCTACGTCCATTTGGAGAAAATATCAAGATTAGGATTACGAACAAAGAGTGACAAAAAGGCTGATATCATAAATGATCCGACTTTAATGGAAGTCGTAGACACTTGATCTCCTGACAGTAACCTTTTAGTCTTCATATTCATAAAATTCTTTGTATATTTATCGCTGGCTGGGCTTTTCATGACGTAGTTTGCGAGGCTAGCTCTTGAGCTCATAGTTAAGACAATAGCTCTTCTTTTGGTAAGAATAATCTCTCACTTGTCCTTTACATTAGCATTTGCAGTCTACGAAAGGTCACTTAGACAGCTCGGACAAAAAAAATTAGTTGATAAATGGTGATATGAAGAAAGTATCAAGCCTTGCTTAACAACATTCACAAAATAAGTCAATATAAACTTGGTGTGAGATTGAAGTATATCTAATTCAAATTTGTTGAAATTTATTACCTTATCTCTAGACAAATGTTCACTAAACATCAAAGTTATCAATAATCTTATGTTACATGTTCGAACATATGACGTTAATGAATAATAGTTGGATCACTATTATCAACCTCTTTATGTGTCATTTTATGTGTTAAAAGCTCAATAAGCTTAGATTTTCGTACATATTTCAAATTTATTTTATGTTTCCTCCTAGGAAAAGTGTATAATTTGTGTACTTCTAGTATCTTATTTGTTCATTAAATTCCTTGTCTTTGTAATGTTTAAGATCTCAAGTGTCTTTTAACGTAACTTTTAAATGCAATATGTTGTCCTTGTTACAATATTTTTTGTTTTATAAAAACAAGGGTTTAGCTAGCTTATCCTTATAACTATGACCAAACAAGGGAAAATTATTTTGATGCAAAAATATTGTAGAAGACTTCAATCCCTTAATGCTATCACCTAATAGTTTCTCATCATCTTTGTGGCACAATCCTCTGTTACACATCCCTGGAAATTCTTCTATGTTTTGTAGATTTTTTCTCATCACATCATGAGATCATCTCATCTTTTGATGAAGCCAAGGGACATTCTCCTTTTAGTTGTTTTATATGAGAAAACCTTATTAAAGATGACGTTTATTTTAAAATTTATATCTTTAAAATAGTATTTCTCCATCACATCAATCTATGGTCAAGGTTGGGCCTAGTCTTTCATTTCACTTGCAATTATTCCTAACTAGAAAGCCCAAAAAATAGTGGAGTAGAATGGTTCATCATTTGCTAGTTATCTCGTGAGCGTTTTATAATGTCAAAGAGATTCATTTCAGGCATTGTGTCATTTGTTATTTGGAAATTTATGAACTTTACATAGGTGAGTAGGCAACGCTTACTTAAAAGTTGTGGCGGGTATCAAACCAGATATGTACCAAACACACTTTTAAACTGTTAGAATTTTGGAAACACTCTTTCATCATAATTTAAAAGTGGTGCAAATTGAAGCTCTTTAGCATGCCAATTTTCAACATTGCCTCTTCTTTCTGAGATTATTCACTTATACATTGAATTTTCTCACTGTTAATGAAAAATTCTTCAAATTCCTTTGTGTTCTCTTGCAGACACAGCTTACAGTATACAGTCTACTATACATACCAGTTATACCAAAGGACCACATATTTACCTTCCAATAAACATTTTAGTATCCATTTTGAGTTTCATTGGGTCCAATAGCTCTAACCAAATTACACAATTCACACAGAAACCAATAGTTATTTATTTATTTGCATTTTTTTATTAGGTTTTAAAATATTTGAATCTTTTAAATAGTTTCTAATAAACCTATGACTGTTGGCTCAACACAATGGACATTGAGTCTACATATACTCATCTGGGTTTACATTGTGGGTGAACATACTAACTAGTTTGACTAGGTAGATGCGCTAAAGTTCTCCAAGTGTGAGACACCATGAATTAAAGTGATCCTATCTTTCATTGGCCAACGTCAAGTGAAAGTTGGTCTCATGAAACAAATTGAGTCACGTACATGGCGCTAAACTTCTATAAACGTTGGCCATGCTCATCCGACGTGGGGACAGTGAGGATGTGCGTGCGTCTTAATCTGGCTACCGTGACGCCTTCTCACCATGCCCCATCCAACCTGGCCCGATTACAGTCCTGTATCTGGGTTAAATTCTTCTAATTCCTCTCCAGCAACTTACATGGAAAGGACTATGCTTTAAAATTTTATTTTAAGGGAGCTTTTGCCAACAGCTTTCCACGGAACTCCATGGAAGAGATGTCACTGCATCTCCGTCCAGTCACCGAGGAGCCGGGCTGTGTTGGAGTGGAAGTGGAAGTGATCGTCTCCTCTACTGCTCTGCATAGGCAAGGAGGAATCTAATCTGCTTTCGTCCGGTTCATGGGCGCGGTCTGGCTATGGCCATCCTGAGAGAGCGTCCCCAAGGACCTGAATTTCAGCAGCTCCACAGCTCTCTGTCCGGGTGATCTTCATGGCCGGGGCTTGAACGGGCGTGTGGTCTTCGAGCATAGTGACCACAGTGGACATGGCAGGCCGAAGGGCCGGGGTAGAGTTGGTGCACAGGAGCCCAAGGTTCAGCATCTGCTGCGCTTCCTCCATGCAGAAGTTGCCACCCAGCGCGGGGTCCACCAGGTCGAGGAGGGCACCCTTCTCCTGCAGAGCATTGGCCTGACAAAAATGGAAAAATCATTACCAAGAAATCTCAAGCCTGAATTGGTTTGAACAGTCAAGAATTGTACATCCATACTGCTCGAGGGTTGCATACCCAATCGAGAAGGTACATGAAGTCATCTTCAACGCGACAGCTGGAGTTACTCTTTCCACTCACAATCTCCAATGTGACCACGCCAAAGCTGTAAACATCTGCTTTGTCCGTCAAGTACCCCCTCAAAGCATATTCAGGAGCTATATAACCTCTGGAAGACGACAAGGAAAGTGATCGTTAGCATAAGAGACAGCACCACCAAACAAAACTGGTTTTTACCCTCTTCATCACATTGAAATAAATCAACAATTACAGGTTCTCTAATTCAGGCAGCTTCAGATGAAAAAAACCAATTGCTGAGATGGATAGCGTACGTAGAAGGAAAAAGTGAAGGATGTATTGGAGGTGGTAACCCAAAACTTCCTTGATCAACAAATAACTTTTGAAGGCAGGATCAAGTAGAACGAAATTAAGATACAGAGAAAGCATTAAAAATGAGACATTCTTGCAACCAAATTGTCCAAATGACCATACTTATTTCAACAAAAATCTGAGCATTGATTCAAACAAAACAGCAATGAACAATATAACTGAAACAATATTACAAGTCTTATGAGGAGAAAATGTCAACAATTGGCAAAACGAATTATATCACTCTAGTAGCAGACCCAAAAATCCATTATTTCAGATAAACAGTTTGCTTACATGGTCCCTGCTATTCGGGTGCTGATATGGGTATTCTCCTCTTCGTTGAGTTTTGCCAGTCCGAAGTCCGATATCTTCGCGTTCAGATCCTTATCGAGAAGAATATTCGTCGTTTTGATGTCTCTATGGACTATCTTTAGCCTCGACTCTTCGTGAAGGTAGGCCAAGCCCCTTGCTATTCCTATGCAAATTTTACGCCTCGTTTGCCAATCCAGTTCCAACTTCGACCCTTCGGGACCTGTCAACACCATGATTGTTACACCCACGCCATATACCCAAGAACTTCATAGAATAAAACCAACCAAGCAATTCCCAGAGAGTAGGAGGCAAAAAGTACAAAGAACGCAAATTGTAGGATGGTTACCAAATAGGGCTCGGGCAAGACTGTTGTTTTCCATGTATTCGTATATCAGCAGTAATTGATTCCCTTCAATGCAGCACCCATGAAGTCTTACGAGGTTCGGGTGCTGTAGGGCTGATGTCATGCCTATTTCATTCACAAATTCCCGGTTTCCTTGCATTGATTTGGATGAAAGCTGCTTCACCGCAATCATAGAACCATCTGGAAGAACGCCCTGAATGTTTTGTACATGCGTGCATTATCATTACGGCTCTCAAGATTACACGATGACTAAAATTTCGGACATAAAGCAAAACTGAATGAACCCATGACTATGTGGTTGACCTTGTAAACCGGACCAAATCCACCTTCACCAATCCTGCTTTCAGGTTCGAAGTCCTTAGTGGCAGCTTTAATTTGCTTCAAACTATAGCAGTTTGTCCGTAACTCCACACCTTTGAGCTCTGCTCAAAGGATAAGAAAAAGGCAATTCATGGCATCAGTATAACGAAAAAACAATACCAGAGGATCTATAACACACAACTGCGCATTAGCTGGCTTCTACACTATTTCCATTGTAAGGGCTGATAGAAAATATCTAACAAAGCTCATCATGTATCCTGAACACATGCCTACTTAAGTTTTCGTTACTCAACTAATCTTCAGAACAGATATTCCTCACTCCCACCACTACATGCCATTGAATGACTACCCCTTTGTCTCATCGCTTATATCATAAACATCTGAGTGGTCACCTGCTAAAAGAAAGACATGCTCTATTAATTATGTCAAAACTAGGGCTGTGCAAAAACTAGGCAACAGGGCAAGAGCCCAGTCGAACAACAAACTGTTTAGAGGGAGGTCTGGCTTGAGGGTGGTGTTGACCATTCCCGTATGATTCAACTTTACGGGATGCAGGACATTTGACCTGTATAACTAATCTACACAATGGTTAGCAAGCATGGTCCATTGAGAAGTTTATCATGTCGCAATTTTGCGATGTCACTTCGACATATTGATTGAAATAAAGTTTTGAGGACACTCCAAACTCAACACCAAGCTTTCATATTTTCATGAAGCGCAAGCACACTTGATAACTCAACAAGTTGCAGAAACTCTCGCTACATCCTTTTCAAATGCTCCAGATAGAAGTCACATACGTACTGAGAGTAAAGAATAGATAAGTGCAGATCTGAGGATTCCTCTACTAATATTTCTAGAAAACTGCATAGCACGGGCAAGCAAAGGTACATTAATAAGAGCACAGGATCAGAGCCAAAATTTGCCACGTGCGGATCTGCGTCAATGATTTCCTAAGATATAGCGATTCGTGTACTCCATATATTTACAGGTAAAAACGAACGGGATCTCACCGTCGTTCTTAACGGGTTTCCTTCTCAGGCAACGCCATACAATACCCGAAAACATTACCAGCACTAGTACTTGTGAAGAACATGCGATTGCAATGATAGCACCTTCTGGAAGCTTTTTGTCCTTGAACACACGAGGTGTGAAATCTACGACGCAAAAAAATAATTAGAATCATCCAATCATGTGATAAGAGCAGAGCAGAAACCATCTTCCAGTACGTACTCGGTGTTACTGAAATTGCTGATATAAGAGGCCCGTAGACGCTTCTATATGGAATGGAATTCGTCCCTTTGCCACACCACATGAAATGGATCTCCAAAGTGCTACCCTCTACAAGTGCAGTAAAATTCCTGATAACTTCTTTACCGGTCCCATTGGCTGCTTCCGCAATGTTGAAGTCTCTTAATACCTTTTTCCCCTGTTCCAATGTGGAGAGTTTGTCAACTGGATCAACACACGACTTGGTTAAGTAAATACAAACAAAAAATAGTGGAATAGAGAGCCCAGGCCCAATTTGGAACCAGAAATCTAGAGACGACCACTATACCTTAATGCACTTGTATTTATAAACAGATACGATGAACATGAAGAAGGGAATAACGAAAAAACAATCGAAAATTATGACCTCTCGTTTGCAAAAAATAATACCAGATATTGTCTTCAGTGACAACCGCATGTATGAAAGAAGTTTGGATAAGAATCAGCACATATGATACTAAGTCAGCAAGATAATAATATTGTGGGAAAAAATAATTCGGAATGAATCCTATTGAAGTAAGCGAAAAGATTTTTACGGAGGTCTGTAAGAAAAGAGCAACACTAAGATATACGTCTTCCTTAAAACTGTAAGTCCAAAGAATGACCTGAATTGATACATCAAACACACGCCTTCCAAGACTGCCAAATTTTGGTCCAGAAGTAAAAACTATTTCAGCGAAGTGCAATTTGACCGTATAATTTCCTGGCTGCAAGCATAAACCATAGTATTTGAGAGATAGAGGATTCAAACGAGCAGAAGTGTACAATTCTGCATTGGGCATTGTCAATGTTGATGCATTTTCTGCTAAAAATCGTTGTTCGCTTGCTCCAATAAAGTTCCCCGTACTGCTATAAGCCCATTTACCACCACTGGAAATGTAATATTTGGATATGCCTTCAAATGACAAGTCACGTTCATATTCATTGCCACCAACAAACACCCTTTCACCTCCGCAATTTATGAAAAGGTTATAGTCTGCAGAAATTTAAAAAAACCAATTATTAAATTAATTAAGAGGATGTCATGTTCAAAAGTCAAAATATAACATCATAAGGATGTTTTACTCCAAGCCCGCAAAACCAAAGAACAAACTAAAAAGGTTCAAATGCTGTTCCATAGAAAGGAGATTTTACGCCCACCTTTAGCTGTGCCATCACAGGGGTGGTCCTTCCTCAAACATGAAGCTATCCTACAAGGTTCAAACGGAGCGAGGGAATGATTTAGACTCTTAATCTACCGCGAATATACACTTTGACAATGTCAGAAACCTACGAGTCACTTGTTGTCAATGAAAAGCTGGCAACATAGTTCCTGCAAGTTAGGTAAACCTTGCTTAATTTCAGAAACACGAATTCAATTCCATAGGTTCGACAGACAGAGCATTCTAACCGTGATTCTTGCTCACAGTCAGCTGGTGCAGATGAAAGATCGGTGAATGTATTGTAAGAAATATCCCTGAAATTTGGACTAGGTTATGATGATGATTGAATGGGAACCAAAATACTTAAGGACGTAAGAAACAGAAACAATTCGAAGTAGAGTATGTACATATTTTTTTGGGGTCTCTTAATCCAATTAGGTATCGATCCAGTAAGTTTGTTGCTTGTAAGGTACCTGATTATGCAAAATCAACAAAAAATGTAAAATACAATAAAATTATCACGAAAATATTGCTTAAAGAGTAAAATGAATGACACTTCAGATTTTCCTACTAGCCTATTAAGTTGAATTCTCAAGTAACTCGAAGCCATACCCACTTACATGGTTTCTAGGAATTTGAGATTCTCAATGTTTACTGGTATTTCTCCAATCAAATTATTGAAGCTCAGATCTCTGCAGCAGAAGTTTATCAAGAACAGTGAAAAACAGGAAACCAAAATATTTGTTTTCCCTGTGACAAGCCAATATGACTTTTTGAGGTACAAATGTTTATTTCAAAATGAACACGAGCGATCAATATTGCTTATAATCCAACAAATCTGCAAGCGAGAAAAACGGCAGTATGAAAATCATTGATGCAGAACAAGTTTGCAAAGACAACATCAACGTTTTTCTTTTTTTCCTAAACAGTATAGAAATTAACCTAAATTAATAAAGTTTCTGACAGTGGGTTTCAAGGTTACTAAAGTTTCCCCACTATTAAAGGGTTGTTAATAAAGTACATACTTTAGAATCCTGCCAAAGTTGACACACTAGATATATAATGACCACATTTTCGTTTATTTAAGTGCCTTGAACCCCAGACTTAAGTGAAAGTCTAAATCATCTTCTATATCTCTGAAAGTTATTGCCTCTGACTTCTTTGCTGGCCTATGATATGTCTAGAGTTCACAATTACAGTTTCTTTGAACCAATATGTAGTGAAGAGGAGCACAGCAGCAAATTAAAGGACCAACCACTGGTAACATCAATGGCGATGTATGTGCTATCGTCAGATAAGGTTACCTGAATCAGATATCTGAACCAGTCTCGAAGCGTAAAATCCATTTAGGGAATTAAAAAAAAAAACATGAAAAGAAGAATAAACTCAAATGCATGCTCATGGATGCCTTCTAAAAAAGCATCTGTAACGTACGAGGTAGTCCGCAGGTATCTTGGGCAGTGCCCGCAGACCCTGTAAAACACTGACAAGACCATTCCTATCATATGCAGATGTTCTAAACAAATGCAAGGACGCAACGTGTCTCTGTTCGTTCAAGGCATCATAACAACTGCATTTTATCCTAAAATAACTCTAAAAATCGTCAAATCAAAACATGATTATCACTGATCTACAAAATTATATAACAATTAGGTTCAAGAAGACGTACAGAAATTGTAGTTTAGTAAACTTGCCAATGTAGTCCGGGATGCTGCCAGATATTGAGCAATTTCGGAGAACCCTGTAGTTTTAACATGGAAAAACCTGTCAAAAAATTGTCAAAAATATATTCATGCGGGTGGATAAATCTCATTCCTAGTCTTACAACTGTTGCATATTTAGCATTTTCTCGAGGGGAGGAAAGCTACCGCCCGTATTTTTCATGTCAGAGACTCTTCTACAAAAGGAAAGCCAACATAGAGGCAACACAGCTATTATCAGTAAAGTGTCCAGAGAACAGCCTAAAGTACGGAAACAGAGTAAACTCAGACTTACAATTCCGTTATGCGTTGGCAATATGACAACTCGGGTGGAAAGGGACCCTTCATTAATGTTCCTTGCATGTCACTGCGACATTAGAAACCGTATTATAGCCCATGAGAATGCCTTGTAGACATCCATTTCAAATGATCAAGTGCCCCATGGAAAACATAAATAAAGACAGCTGGGCTAACAGTCTTCGTAGTTTTGTCCAGTTCCCGATGAAGCCTGGTATTTTCCCAGATATCTCCGTCCCATCCAGCGTACTGAAAATCATTATCTGGTGCCCATTAATAATATATTAAGACGATCGTTAATCCCATGAAAGAGTTCAACAAATATAAAACCAGGAACCGTACACTTCTGTCAAGTTCTTCAGGTTACTCAGCGTTTCTGGAAGCTCACCCGAGAAGTTGTTACAAGAAAGAAGGCTGAAATGACATGATGCACTGTCACTGATTTTCTTCAACCAGTCACATAAGTTACGATCATTGTACCTATAGTTTGTTTCTTCTCTTCTCTTTTTGATTCAGATAAAGAACGATAATTCAAGTAATAGAGAAAAATATATCATAGACCAGAGGCTTACAGTCTTCTTAGGTTGGTCAGGTTTCCGAGGCTACGAGGAAGAGGTCCTTGCATCATGTTGCTCTCCAAGCAACTTCAGGTAAAGCATTCAACATTAATAAAACATGTCGATCAACAACTAATACCAATGCACAACACCGGTTGGTGCATTAAATGTCTTCTACGAACAGGATATAGAGGGATTACAGTGTTTCAAGCGTTGAAATTCTGCCCAACTCCTCAGGAATCGGACCTGAGATACGGTTCGCCAGAAGGTTTCTGCGGTGGTACACAAAAAAGCCCATTCGTTAGATCCCCTACCGCTTAGAAAGCATATGGACCACAGAATATAGAAATCGAATTTTCGTTGACGAGTCCCTAAGGACCGGAAGAGTGGTGAATTACAAGTTTTGCAGAGGAGTGGAGGTCCAATTAGCGGCAGGTATGGAGCCGTTGATGTAGTTCCGAGAGAAGTCACTGCTCAGTTTCACCGATTCAGAGGATACGAAAATTGAGCACCGTCAAAGTTCCAAAGAAAGAATCGAGAAATATTATAACTTAGAGCCGCGAACTTACATCCAGGATAGGTGACTGAGCTTCCCCAACTCCTCCGGCAGCACTCCAGCCAGGCTAGCCGCCTTGATTTCGCTGTCGACAATTTTGGACGTGCAAGAACGATCACCCACAGATCGGACAGAGAATATGCGAGACATCGGGAACGTAATCCGAGAGGAGACAGCGGCAGGTCCCTACATGCCGATGACACGCCAGACGATGGTGTTTGTGGTCGTGTTTGTGGTCTCGTTCGTGGTGCTCGTGCTGAATTCCTGGCAGGTGACATTGTGGACGTAGGGGTTCCTGTCTTCCTTCGTCCATTGGGTGCAAGGATCTACGCCGAAGTTCCACAGCGTCGGCGGAATCTTGAGCTTTGAAGCGATCTGCTTCAGTGCCTCGACTGTTCCCGCGCGGTGCCCCACGGGGGTTGTTAGAACTCGCATAAAGTGAATTACAATATATATATAAATTTATAGAGATAGTGTGAATTTATATCTCTAGTAATATAATATATTTTATCTAATGAGTAAATAAATTCCTTATATTGGGATTACTGAGAAGAATAATATCTTACTCTGGAGTTGAGGTAGAAGATGGTTCTGTATTTGAATATGTTTGGATTTTTTTCTAGTTTTTACTCGATGTGTGCTGAGAGAGGATATATTTTACCCATTCGAGAGGATAAAAGCTGAGCGATGGTCGCCACACGCCAGGCTTGAGAGGACGAGCGAAGTAAAAAACCGAGAGAGAGAGAGAGAGAGAGAGAGAGAGAGAGATCTGCTTCTGGTGATCCAGTGCGAGGAGGAGCAGAGAGGAGGAGGGTGGTCGTCGGCGCAGCTCACCTTCCTGGGGATGAGTCTCCGCGTGGGCTCCCCAACTCTGGAGGCAACAGTTCAGAGTCGCCGTCAAGAGGAGGAACAGAGCTCGGGAGAGCGCCACCGTCCCGAGTGCCGCCGGAGCAGCTGCTCTCATCTCGCGCTTCGACCTCTTCGCGTCGCCTTCCGGTTAATGAACAGGGAGGTTGGGGAGAACGAACGAAGCAAACTAGGAATCCCCGCGTTCTCCTCTCACAGGTGGGAAGGAGGGAGGGGTGGCCGGAGATGTAGTCTACACCATACGGCGCAGACCGAGCACACAGACACAAGTAACTAAACCAGTGAGCTCTCGCTTTGCGCCGGCGCCCCTCGGTAGGAATCCCCATCGGCGGGGTTTTGTTTCGGTGCGAAGGCGCGCCGGCGGATAAATACGGCGGGTTCTATGACTCAGAACTCAGCCCGATGGCAACTCTATGTCTAGGGGGGGGGAGGGGGGTTGGATATGGGACGTTGACGAGGATGACGGATCTCATCGATGGCACGACGTCCCCGCACTGCGCGTTCGAGCTCTGGACAAGCCTTTGGATAGGTTTGGACCCCAATACCCTTTGGTTGATCGGGAATCAGCGCGGGGCTGGTGGCGCGATGCGACACGGCACGCACGCACGGCGCGATCGGCGGACTGGAGAGATCAGTTGATTGGTGGACCGGGCGGGATTTTCAGGTGGCCCCACGGTGAATCTGTTTAGTGCCGCTGAGGGAGACCAAGGATGAGTGAGGACGAAATAATCGAGGTGAGCACGACTTTAATGACAGCACGCCATCGGTCACATACTCCTGATCTCAGGTAGAGTGCATGAGTGCTAAGATCTCAAGGACGATTAGGGAGAAGAGAGAGATCTGTCCAGATTGAGAATACCGAGGCTCCTAACTGAGCATACTTCCAAAAAAATTATGTAGTGTTAAAAGAGGCTGTTTGGTATCATGACGACTAACTAGGCCATGCAAAGTTGAGTGTTTTGGAAATACAAACATTAATAGTGTGACAAACGCTATAAGTGCGTTTGGTACCCAAATTTCGAAGAGATCGGAGATTGACAAGAGATAATAGAAGATATGGCCAAAGAATCACTTGCATAGAAAGGCTAATGGCAATGTGGGTCGGGGCTGTGGAGCAGCAACTTTACACTTTTTGCAGCTGCTGAGCGGCTCCACTTATTCAAAGTCACGGAGGAACATCTTTGCGGGTTGAAGTAACAATTGGAGGACCTTCAGCTGATTGTGAGAGACATAATCGTTGGCGATTTGAGGGCAGCCATAACATAGGCTGAAGGACAAGGCAAGACAGTTGAAGCCTTGTCTCCAATGTTCCCCTACTTAAGCACCTAGGGGTTAGGCACCTTGACAAGGAGTGGGACGACTCAACGCAAGGTCTCGGTGCTTATAGTGTTTGGTGATGTGTGGAACACAAAAGAAATTGAAAATTTCCTGTGGTTATTGCATCACTGTTTTCAGACTGTCAACACGCCAGAGGCAAAGAAGGTGATGCTAGCTTCCATGTACGTCTCCAACAATGGCAAACTCTAATGGTATATTCAAGCAGAGGATCAAGCCCAACCTCCTGTCAGTTCTTCAGCAAACTTTGTGTGAGAACATAAGAAACAATCCCTACCCATGAATAGTACTTTGATGCTAAGATATGTCCTTGGACAATTGAAGCACACAAGCTTAGTGATGGAATATGTCAAATAAGTCGTCTCATTACTCAATACAAAATGTATGTTTGATGAAGACAAGTTTTTAACTTCATAGCTAGAGTGCCAGGTGAGTGTAACCAAACCTTTGTTGATAAGGAGAACACAATATGTAGTTGGTCACAGCAATAATAGGCGTCTTAATTGATTATTGACGTAACAATGCCAAAAAACTTGACAACAGTTACAAGTGCTGGGAGGATATCTAGTGGGATTATCTGCAGGATGGGAATACAACAATAGTCATGGTCATTTGGTGTTCACGAGAGGTACAAGGGTCTAAGGAAGCCAAGTCTAAGGTAAAGATGCATTTGGGCAATCCCTTCAAAGGACGTTGCTTTTGTCTACCACCAAGGGACACATCGGGTGAAGAACTTCCTTGCTCACATTTGCAGAAAATTTCCTTTGCAGTATTGTGTATGTTTGTGATCAAGAGGTGACACTAAGAGGACTAATCCCACATTGAATCCTATTCAACTACATGAAGTTTTGCAACAACAATCAAAGCAAACAACCAGAGTCATATGTAATGTATATTGAGGTACATGTTAGTAGAATTCTATCAAGAGTGAGGATTGCTAAAATAATGGCGCCATCCATGTACAAATTTGAGGCAACTTGATTAGTCTTGACATTTCATGAATAGTGGGACAAATTAAAGTTGTCAACGAAAGTTATGGACCATAGCTGGAGCTATACATGGGGTCTCACAAGAATTCCGATATTGAAAAGATATATTAAATTTCATGGTCATCACCATGGATGACTTCACCTTAGTGCTATTGATTTTATCATCTAAACATAAATGCAAGAATTAGTGATGAAAAATAACATCATGCTTCGTAGTAGAAGTAGTGACTGCTCCAACAAAACTTTAATTGTTGCCTATTGTATAGTTGAAGGATGGACTAAGGAGATAAAAAATTCTTAGTCACCTTTGGGAGTAAGAGGAACCTATGTAGGTGTTAAGCACTAAGTCAACTACTGATGTGGTTAGAGTAGGCACATGCGTAGTTGACGATAGATAATTGACATGCGTTCAATGGACACTAGTACAAGTACATATGATAGAGGGTGCATGTACACATGGCAATGGTGTTTGGAACAGATGTCCCCCCAAAGGATGGGTGTCATATTGTTATTTATCCCTCCGATAAGCATGACCATGTGCAGCTTTGGATACCCAGTAACATGTCCAAGCAGCCTTATCTCCCCCAATGACCTACAAACGACTTTGTGAAAGTTTGATGACACACCAAGGGAACTAAAGTGTATATATCTATTCGTTAACTAGGAATACAAAAAGGGAAGAAGGGATTTGAGTGCACGCTCACTTGTCTTACTCTATGGCTAACATAGTTGAGATGCCCCTCTTCCTTTATGCCATAACTTGTCAATGTTGCTACATATGACACCTACTCATTACCCTTGTTTAGGATGCGTTACTTTTCTTATGTCTACTACATACGGCCATTGGCCAATTATTTATAATGCCTACATGCATGCTCTTCTCTATTAAGCATCAACATTGTACTGATATTGCACTGTGTTGTTCCAATGGCCAACAAGGTTCACATAAACCTCCCCGTGCATTAGCAAAGTTATTTGTCAATGCTGTGCACATCTGATTGTCACTTTAGTTTAAGAGTAATTTATAAACGCCCTTTCTTTCTATATTGAGTACTTATTTGTATAGTATATCATCTCTGCAATTGTCATCACGTGAATTGTAAATAGGTCTACTTATCCCAATAATTGGTTGAGATTGTTTTAAGATATTATTAATTTTACGTGGTCGATTTATTCTGAGTGGAGTGCTTTAATCCCATATGATTCTTTAACCGTGTCGACCAGATCTCTTCCAAATCTTGCGGGAGACTAATAGAACATGTCCTAGTTTATTTTCCTAGCACTCATAAACATATCGTGAGAGTCAATTCATTCTGTCCCGCATCTAAGTGTGGTCGTCAGTATAACTCACCTTCCTCAGGAAGAGTCTGCGTGTGGGCTCCCCCGCTACTCGAGATAGCAGTTCAGGGTCGCCGCCAAGAGGAATAAAACTCGGGGGAGCGCCGCTGGAGCAGCTGCTCTCATCCCGCGCGTTTCCCTCTTCCCCGGTTGCCTCCCGGTCGAAGAAGTTGGGGAGGAGCAACGAAGCGAACTGAGAGTCCTCGCGATCCCCTCCTACGGGCGGGAGGCAGGGAGACAGGGCCGAAGATGGAGCCCACACCATGCGGCGTGGACCGAGGATAGAGAGCCGAGAAGTAAGGAGAGGAAGGGGCTGTCTTGGTGGCGCCCCGGCGTATAGGAATCAGTAGGTGGGGTAGTGCTGGGTTCAGCGGCGCACCAGCGGATATGTTCGAATTACAAAACACTCCGCCCGCGCGAAGGCCCGACAGTGACGACAGCCGATGTGGCAGCTGACGCGGGTCGGAGGGAGGAGGGGCGGTGAAGGTTGACAACTTGGCTGACAACCTCCGACATGAGGGTTTGATCGGCGAACCCTACCACTGTTCGCGCATCACTTTCCACCAAATGCATAAATAAGGTGATAACTTCAGTTTCAGGTCTGACGAGGATAGCGAAGCTCATAAATGGCGACAACCCAACCTTCTCAATTTATACTGGAGCCCTGTGACACCGTCAGTGCGGCGAGAGCCCTCATGATCCTCCGGTCAGACCCAGTGAACTTTGGGGGCCACCTTTCTACGCCCATTTGGAGGAAATGTCAAGAGTAGGATTGAGAACCAAGAAAGACAAAAGGCTGATATCGTAAATGATATTTTCAAGACTTTACAAAGAGGTTTCGACTTTGATGGAAGTCGCAGACACTTTAACTCTTAATAGTAATCTTTTTGTCTTCAATTTAAAGAATATCTTTGTATATTTATTGCTTGTTTAGCTTTTCATGATATAACTTGCAAGCCCAGCTCTTGAGCACATAGTTGAGACGGTAGCTTATATCTTGGTAAGCATAGTATCCCATGTTTGTGCTTTATATTAGCATTTGGAGTCTTCAACAAGTCACATATATCACTTGAACAGAACTATAGTTGATAAATGGTGATATGGACATAGTATCAAGCCTTAACAACATTCACAAATTACCTCTAAAGATTATTAACAGACACTCAGCGTGAGATTGAAGTATTAACTAATTCAAACTTGCTGAAATTTATTACCTTATCTCTGAAAAAAATTCCACCAAGCATCAAAAGTACCAATAATCTTCGTTGTTCAACATGAGACAAAATGAATAGTAGTTGGCTCACTATTCACATCTCTTCACATGTGCTTTTATGTGTTAAAAGCTCAATAAGTATGGATTGCAACACATATTTCAAAATGTTTGTCTATTTCTTGTACCCTCTTAGTCAATAAATTGTTTTGCTATTAAATTCCTTGTCCTTGTGATGTCTAAGACCTTAAGCATCTTTTAAGATAATTTTTAAATGCAACACTTTGACTTTTTTCCATTATTTTTTATTTTCTAAACCACAAGGGAAAATAATATCACCATTTATCCTTACTGAATAATTTGACATAGAAGGGAAATTATATTGATCCAAGAACATCGTAGAAGTCTTTGAAGCACTTAATGTTAACACATGAGAGTTTCTTATTATTTCATCATACAATCCTCTTTTACCTGGTGAGATCATGTCAACTTTTGATGAAGCCAAGGGACAACTTGCCTTTTGTTATTTTGTATGAGAAAGCTTATTAAAGATGAACTTTATTTTAAAACTTAGAACTTTTTAACAATATTTTTTCATGTCTCATCAATCTACGATCTAGGTTTCCCTAGTCTTTCATTTCACTTGCAAGGATTCCCTACTATAAATCTTAAAAACTAGTGGAGTAGAATGATTCATCATTTGCTGATTATCTACTAAATGTTTTGTAATGTTTAAGGTGTTCAAGTCAAGCATTGTGTCTTTTATTACTTGGAAATTTATGAACTTTGCATACATGAGTAACCAATGTTGTAGTCAAAAGGTGTGGTGGGTATCAAACTTGATGTGTCAAATCCAAAGCTTTACTCTTCACTATGCTTTAACAATAGCAGTCTTTTGAGAAGCGAAACTCCGCCATATTCAACTATTAATGTTCCATTGTAAGTTTTTAATAGTTAGAATTTGGGGAACACTGTTTCCTCATAGTTTCGGAGTAGTGGTAAAAGTTGAAGCTCTTTAGCATGTTATTTTTCATCGTTGACTATGAGATTATACATTTATACCTAGAATTTTCTCAATGTATCCTCCTGCGCACACAGCTTACAACGCTTTTTGGTCTACTATATATACTATGGTCTCTAAGGACCACATATTTAGCTTCCATTGAACTTCTTGGCATTTAAATTGAATTTCATTGGATCTAATTGGTCTAACCAACTAATACATTTCACTCAGAAATATTTTTTCCTGAATTCAAGGAGAGTAGTTTCATTTGTTATCAAGTTTTAATATATTGGTAGCTTTTAAAATAACTTACTATAAACTACGTCTAATGGGTCAACACAATAGACATTTAGTTTACATGGACTCATTTCAGTTATTGTTGGTAAACACCAGATGCGCTGCCTAGTTTGACTAGGTAGACGCACCAAAGTTCTCCAGATGTGAAACATCACGATTTAAAGTGATTCTACCTTTTCAGTGGCCAACGTCCAGTGAATCTTAGACCGTGAAACTAAATGAGTCACAAACATTAGCCGGTCAAAATCCTAATTTTTATAAAACGTTGGCCATCAAATGCTTCATCCGACATAGAGACAGTCAGGATGTGCGTACGTTTTAGACGTGAATGGTCGGGGCTACCATCCCGCCTCTTCAGCATCCTGCATCCAACCTGGCCCAATCACAGTGCTACATCTGCCCCGAATTCTGCTAATTCCTCTTCCACAGTTTACAGGAAAAAAATAATGTTTTTCGAATCTTATTTTAAGCGCGCTTTTCCGGACAGCTTTCCATCGAACTCCATGCCATAGATGTCAATCCGCCTCCGTCCAGTCACCGAGGAGCCAGGGTCCGTTTGAGTGGAAGTGGTCGTCTCCTGTAATCTGCTTTCGTCCGGTTCATGGGCGCGGTCTGGCTATGGCCATCCTGAGAGAGCGTCCCCAAGGACCTGAATTTCAGCAGCTCCACAGCTCTCTGTCCGGGTGATCTTCATGGCCGGGGCTTGAACGGGCGTGTGGTCTTCGAGCATAGTGACCACAGTGGACATGGCAGGCCGAAGGGCCGGGGTAGAGTTGGTGCACAGGAGCCCAAGGTTCAGCATCTGCTGCGCTTCCTCCATGCAGAAGTTGCCACCCAGCGCGGGGTCCACCAGGTCGAGGAGGGCACCCTTCTCCTGCAGAGCATTGGCCTGACAAAAATGGAAAAATCATTACCAAGAAATCTCAAGCCTGAATTGGTTTGAACAGTCAAGAATTGTACATCCATACTGCTCGAGGGTTGCATACCCAATCGAGAAGGTACATGAAGTCATCTTCAACGCGACAGCTGGAGTTACTCTTTCCACTCACAATCTCCAATGTGACCACGCCAAAGCTGTAAACATCTGCTTTGTCCGTCAAGTACCCCCTCAAAGCATATTCAGGAGCTATATAACCTCTGGAAGACGACAAGGAAAGTGATCGTTAGCATAAGAGACAGCACCACCAAACAAAACTGGTTTTTACCCTCTTCATCACATTGAAATAAATCAACAATTACAGGTTCTCTAATTCAGGCAGCTTCAGATGAAAAAAACCAATTGCTGAGATGGATAGCGTACGTAGAAGGAAAAAGTGAAGGATGTATTGGAGGTGGTAACCCAAAACTTCCTTGATCAACAAATAACTTTTGAAGGCAGGATCAAGTAGAACGAAATTAAGATACAGAGAAAGCATTAAAAATGAGACATTCTTGCAACCAAATTGTCCAAATGACCATACTTATTTCAACAAAAATCTGAGCATTGATTCAAACAAAACAGCAATGAACAATATAACTGAAACAATATTACAAGTCTTATGAGGAGAAAATGTCAACAATTGGCAAAACGAATTATATCACTCTAGTAGCAGACCCAAAAATCCATTATTTCAGATAAACAGTTTGCTTACATGGTCCCTGCTATTCGGGTGCTGATATGGGTATTCTCCCCTTCGTTGAGTTTTGCCAGTCCGAAGTCCGATATCTTCGCGTTCAGATTCTTATCGAGAAGGACATTCGTCGTTTTGATGTCTCTATGGACTATCTTTAGCATCGACTCTTCGTGAAGGTACGCCAAGCCCCCTGCTATTCCTATGCAAATTTTACGCCTCGTTTGCCAATCCAGTTCCAACTTCAGCCCATCGGGACCTGTCAACACCGTGATTGTTACATTCACACCATGCTGCCAATAACCTCACGCAATGAATCTCAGAAAGGAAATCCTGGAAAGTAGCCGGCACAATGTACAAGGAACCTAAAACCGTAACATGATTACCATATAGGGCTCGGGCAAGGCTGTTATTTTCCATGTATTCGTATATCAGCAGCAATTGATCCCCTTCAATGCAGCACCCATAAAGTCTTACGAGGTTCGGGTGCTGTAGGGATGATATCAGCCCTATCTCATTCACAAATTCTCGGTTTCCTTGCTTTGACTTGGATGAAAGCTGCTTCACCGCAATCATAGAGCCATCTGGAAGAACCCCCTGAAAGTTTTCAACATGCTTGTATTATTAGGCCCCTAAAATTACTCAAGGGATAAATTTCGGACATAAAGCAAAACTTAATAAACCCATGACTATGTGGTTGACCTTGTAAACAGGACCGAATCCACCTTCACCAATCTTGTTTTCAGGGTCGAAGTCCCTAGTGGCAGCTTTAATTCGCTTCAAACTAAAACAGTTTGTCTTTAACTTCAAACCTTTGAGTTCTGCTCAAAGAATAAGAAAAAGGAAATACATGCCATTAGTATAGTGAAAAAACAATACTAGAGGATCTGTGCCACACAGCTGAGAATTATCTGTCTTGTACACTTTCCATTGTAAGAGCTGCTAGAAAATATCTAACGAGATCATAATATAGGCCGTAGGCAATGTCTCAAAACTCATTAGATTGTCACAAGTCTATGCCCGATGTTCTCTTCAGCTTCATTATGTATCCTGAATGCATGCCTACTTAAATTTTCGCTACTCAACTAATCTTCAAACAGATATTCCTCACTCCCACCGCTACAAACCATTTGATGGCTACTCCTTTGTCCCATCGCTTATAGCAAAGCATAAACATTCAACTAGTCGCCTACCAAAAGAAAGGCGTACTCCACTCTTTGTCAAAACTAGGACCGTGCACAAGCTAGGCAACATGCCAAGAGTCCGATAGAACAACAAACTGTTTAGAGGGAGGTCTGGCATTACATGGTGTTGACCATTCCCGTATGATTCAACTTTACGGGATGCAGGACATTTGACCTGTATAACTAATCTACACAAGGGTTAGCAGGCATGGTCCATTGTGAAGGATATCATGCCACCATTTTGTGATATCACTTGGACATATTGATTGAAATAACGTTTTGAGGATACTCCAAACTCAACACCTTGCTTTTCATACTTTCATGAAAAGCGCAAGCGCACTTGATAACTCAACAAGCTGAAGAAACTGTCGCTACTTTAACTTCAAATGCTCTAGATAGAAGTCACATGTAGTGAGAGTAAAGAATAGATAAGTGCAGATTTGGCTGTGTTCCCATCAGATCTGAGGATTCCTCTACTAATATTTCTTGAACACTGGACAGCACGTGCAAGCAAAGTTACATTAATAAGCAGCACAGGATAAGAGCCAAAATTTGCCACGTGCAGATCTGCCTCAATGATTTCCTAAGATATAGCGATTTGTGTACTCTATATATTTACAGGTAAATATGAATGGGATCTCACCATCGTTCTTAATAGCTTTTCTTCTCAGGCAATACCATATAACACCAAAAATCACCAGATACGGAAGTGCATCTTTAGCTAACCCAAGTAGAATGCCAGCGACTGCTGGAAATTGTTTGTCCTTCAACACGTGAGGTGTGAAATCTACGACGCAAAAAAATAATTAGAATCAACTAATCAGATCAAAATACCAGAGCAGGAATCATCCTCGTGTACGTACTGGGTGTTACTGAAATTGCTGATATAAGAGGCCCGTAGACACTTCTATATGGAATGGAATTCGTCCCTTTGCCAGACCACATGAAATGGATCTCCAAAGTGCTACCCTCCACAAGCGCAGTAAAATTCCTGATAACTTCTTTACCGGTCCCATTGGCTGCTTCCACGATGTTAAAGTCTCCTAACACCTTTTTTCCCTGTTTCAATGTGGAGAGTTTTATCAACTCAATCAACACACGACTTGGTTTAGTAAATACAAACAAAAACCCTGGAATAGAGAGCCCAGGCCCAATTTACAACCAGAAATCGAGAGACGACAACTATACCTTAATGCACTTGTATTCATAAACAGGTACCATCAAAATGAAGAAAGGAATAACTAAATAAGAAAAAAACAATTGAAAATTATGACTTCTCGTTTGGAAAAAATAATACCATATATTCTGTCTTCAGTGACAACCGCATGTATGAACGAAGCTTGGATAAGAATCAGCACATAGGACACTAAGTAAGCAAGATGATATTATTATGGGATCAAATAATTAGGAATGTCTCCTATTGAAGTAATTGAAAAGAGTATTACGGAGGTCGGTAAGAAAAGAGCAATACTAAACCATACGTATTCATCAAGACTGTGAGTCCAAGAAATCCAACTAACCTGAATTGATACATCAAACACACGCCTTCCAAGACTGCCAAATGTCGGACCAGAAATAAAAACTATTTCAGCAAAGTGAAGTTTGACCGTATAATATCCTGGCTGCAAGCATAAGCCATAGTATTTGAGAGAGAGAGGATTCAAACGAGCAGAAGTGTACAATTCTGCATTGGCCATTGTCAATATTGATTCATTTTTGGCTAAAAACCGTTGCTCGCTTCCCCCAATAAAGTTCCCTGTACTGCTATAAGCCCACTTTCCACTACTGGAAATGTAATATTTGGATTTGCCTTCAAATGACAAGTCACGTTCATATTCATTGCCACCAACAAACGCCCTTTCACCTCCACAATTTATGAAAAGGTTATAGTCTGCAGAAATTCCAAAAAACCAAATTTAAAATTAATCAAGAGAACGTCATGTTAAACTTTCAAATCATAAGAATGTTTTCCTTCAAGCCCCCAAAACCAAAAAACAAACAAAAGGGTAAAAAAGCAGTTCCATGGAAAGGAGATTTAATGCCCACTTTTAGCTGTGCCATCACAGGGGTGGTCCTTCCTTAAACATGAAGCTATCCTACAAAGGTCAAATGGAGCGAGTGAATTATTCAGACACTTAATATACCACGAATATACACTTTGACAATGTCAGAAACCTACGAATTATTTGTTGTCGATGAAAAGCTGGCAACATAGTTCCTGCAAGTTAGGTAAACCTTGTTTAATTCCAGATACAAGAATTCAATTCCTTAGGTGCAACACACAAAAAGCATGCTTACCGTGATTCTTGCTCACAGGTAGCTGGTGCAGATGACAGATCGGTGAATGTATTGTAAGAAATATCCCTGAAAATTTGGGCTTCAAGGACATAAAATGCTTAAGGATATAAAATACACAATCAATCCCAGGTAGACAACGTACATATTTTGTCGGGGTTTCTTAATCCAATCAGGTATGGATCCAGTAAGTTTGTTGCTTGTAAGGTACCTGATAACGCGAAGTCAATACCAAAAGTGGAAACAACAAAATTATCAGGAAAATTTTGCTTAAGGAGCAAAATGAATGACTCTATAGATTTTCCTCCTGGCCTATTAAGTTGAATCATCGAGTATATCGAACCCATGACAACTTACATGGTTTCTAAGAATTCGAGGTTCGCAAAGTTTTCTGGCATTTCTCCCGTTAAATTATTAAAGCTCAGATCTCTGCAGCAGAAGTTATCAAAAAATGTGAAAAATAGGAAATCAAAATATTTTTTCTCCTTATGAACAGAATATGATTTGTCAAGGTACGAGTCTTCTTTTCAAGATAAACATGAGAATTCCATATTGCTTATAATCTAATAACTCTGCAAGCGAGAAAAACGGCTGTATGAAAATCATTGATGTGGAAAATTTTTGCAAAGTAAGATGAAATCAACGTTTTTTCTTCCTTTTTTCCTAAACAGTATAGAAAAAGAAGAAGATACTCAAATGCATGCTCATGGATGCCTTCTAAAAAAGCATCTGTAACGTACGAGGTAGTCCGCAGGTATCTTGGGCAGTGCCCCCAGACCCTGTAAAACACTGACAAGACCATTCCTATCATATGCAGATGTTCTAAACAAATACAAGGACGCAGCGTGTCTCTGTTCGTTCAAGGCATCATAACAACTGCATTTTATCCTAAAATAACTCTAAAAATCGTCAAATCAAAACATGATTATCACTGATCTACAAAATTATATAACAATTAGGTTCAAGAAGACGTACAGAAATTGTAGTTTAGTAAACTTGCCAATGTAGTCCGGGATGCTGCCAGATATTGAGCAATTTCGGAGAACCCTGTAGTTTTAACATGGAAAAACCTGTCAAAAAATTGTCAAAAATATATTCATGCGGGTGGATAAATCTCATTCCTAGTCTTACAACTGTTGCATATTTAGCATTTTCTCGAGGGGAGGAAAGCTACCGCCCGTATTTTTCATGTCAGAGACTCTTCTACAAAAGGAAAGCCAACATAGAGGCAACACAGCTATTATCAGTAAAGTGTCCAGAGAACAGCCTAAAGTGCGGAAACAGATTAAACTCAGACTTACAATTCCGTTATGCGTTGGCAATATGACAACTCGGGTGGAAAGGGACCCTTCATTAATGTTCCTTGCATGTCACTGCGACATTAGAAACCGTATTATAGCCCATGAGAATGCCTTGTAGACATCCATTTCAAATGATCAAGTGCCCCATGGAAAACATAAATAAAGACAGCCGGGCTAACAGTCTTCGTAGTTTTGTCCAGTTCCCGATGAAGTCTGGTATTTTCCCAGATATCTCCGTCCCATCCAGCGTACTGAAAATCATTATCTGGTGCCCATTAATAATATATTAAGACGATCGTTAATCCCATGAAAGAGTTCAACAAATATAAAACCAGGAACCGTACACTTCTGTCAAGTTCTTCAGGTTACTCAGCGTTTCTGGAAGCTCACCCGAGAAGTTGTTACAAGAAAGAAGGCTGAAATGACATGATGCACTGTCACTGATTTTCTTCAACCAGTCACATAAGTTACGATCATTGTACCTATAGTTTGTTTCTTCTCTTCTCTTTTTGATTCAGATAAAGAACGATAATTCAAGTAATAGAGAAAAATATATCATAGACCAGAGGCTTACAGTCTTCTTAGGTTGGTCAGGTTTCCGAGGCTACGAGGAAGAGGTCCTTGCATCATGTTGCTCTCCAAGCAACTTCAGGTAAAGCATTCAACATTAATAAAACATGTCGATCAACAACTAATACCAATGCACAACACCGGTTGGTGCATTAAATGTCTTCTACGAACAGGATATAGAGGGATTACAGTGTTTCAAGCGTTGAAATTCTGCCCAACTCCTCAGGAATCGGACCTGAGATACGGTTCGCCAGAAGGTTTCTGCGGTGGTACACAAAAAAGCCCATTCGTTAGATCCCCTACCGCTTAGAAAGCATATGGACCACAGAATATAGAAATCGAATTTTCGTTGACGAGTCCCTAAGGACCGGAAGAGTGGTGAATTACAAGTTTTGCAGAGGAGTGGAGGTCCAATTAGCGGCAGGTATGGAGCCGTTGATGTAGTTCCGAGAGAAGTCACTGCTCAGTTTCACCGATTCAGAGGATACGAAAATTGAGCACCGTCAAAGTTCCAAAGAAAGAATCGAGAAATATTATAACTTAGAGCCGCGAACTTACATCCAGGATAGGTGACTGAGCTTCCCCAACTCCTCCGGCAGCACTCCAGCCAGGCTAGCCGCCTTGATTTCGCTGTCGACAATTTTGGACGTGCAAGAACGATCACCCACAGATCGGACATAGAATATGCGAGACATCGGGAACGTAATCCGAGAGGAGACAGCGGCAGGTCCCTACATGCCGATGACACGCCAGACGATGGTGTTTGTGGTCGTGTTTGTGGTCTCGTTCGTGGTGCTCGTGCTGAATTCCTGGCAGGTGACATTGTGGACGTAGGGGTTCCTGTCTTCCTTCGTCCATTGGGTGCAAGGATCTACGCCGAAGTTCCACAGCGTCGGCGGAATCTTGAGCTTTGAAGCGATCTGTTTCAGTGCCTCGACTGTTCCCGCGCGGTGCCCCACGGGGGTTGTTAGAACTCGAATAAAGTGAATTACAATATATATATAAATTTATAGAGATAGAGTGAATTTATATTTTATCTAATGAGTAAATAAATTCCTTATATTGGGATTACTGAGAAGAATAATATCTTACTCTGGAGTTGAGGTAGAAGATGGTTCTGTATTTGAATATGTTTGGAAATTTTTCTAGTTTTTACTCGATGTGTACTGAGAGAGGATATATTTTGCCCATTTAAGAAGGCAAAAACTGAGCGCTGGTCGTCAGTATAACTCACCTTCCTCGGGGTGAGTCTGCGCGTGGGATCCCCGGCTCTGGAGGTTCAGAGTCGCCGCAAGGATGAGGAGGAACAGAGCTCGGGGGATCCCCGTCGCCCCGACCGCGGCCAGAATGCCTGCTCTCATCTCACGTCTCGACCTTTTCGCCTCGGCTTCCGGTCGAAGAACATGTAGGTGGGGGAGAAATAACGAAGCAAACTGGCAATCCCCCCGATTTCCTTGCGGAGTTGGGAAGGAGGGAGGGATGGCCAGAGATGTAGTCTACACCATACGGCGCAGACCGGGCACACAGACATAGTCACTGAACCAGGGAGCTCTCACTCGCGCCGGCGCCCCCCGTCGGTAGGAATCCGTCAGCGAGGGTTTTCGTCCTGGTTCTACGGCGCCAGGGGGTAGCTAGGAAGATCAAAAGTCGTATGACTCAGCAATCGCCCGACGGGAACGGCCACAGCCGAGTGGGGGCAGCGAAGGCGGACATCTCGGCGGACCCCAGTATCCTTCTAGAACCGCTCTCCACCCAGTATAAAGTCAACGTGAGAACGTTTGGTACGGATGTTGACGAGGATGACGGAGCTAATCAACGGCGCCACGCCCGCCCCCACTGCCCCCCAGCCCGGTGTCCCCACTTCGTCGATCCCTGGCATCTTTCGTCAAGCGTTGTGGAACCCTAGACAAGCTTCTGGTCAGGTGTGGACCCCAATGCTTTTCGGTTACGGGCTCTTGGCGGGAATTTGCGCGGGGTTCGTGGCGCAGTACGACACGGCACGTCGACGAATGTCAGTAACGTGGCAGCACGGCGCGATCGGCGGACCAGAGAGATCAGTAGATCGGTGGACCGGACTACGACGGGGGCGCGAGAATCGCTCTGGGCACGCTCCTGTACAGGCCAGACAGGATGGGGGCGTGGGGGGATTTCCGGGCGGCCCGGTCCCGTCCTCCGGCGGAGATCGATTTGTCAAGACAAAATAAGGGAGAATAGATTCGAGCGTTGTTAGCTCATGCGGCCCTTACATGTGTTATTGAGAGACGAATACACAGCTCTATCAGTGAAGAGAGCCTTCTGTTACGTTGTGAAGTGGTTTGGTGCCGTCGAGGGCGAATAAGGCTGGTTCGAGGTGAAGGAAGAGAATTGAGCTCAACTTTAATCCCATGACATCGAGCCATTCTGTCACATACTCTTACTATATGGGGCAGAGTGCATGGTTTATGGGAACCGTCTTATTCGTTAGGGAGATTAGGGAGAAGAGAGGTCTGACTCCTACCTAGAGAACAAAGTTGTCAACAACTCAGAGTCATGTGCCCTACTCAAAACCAAACATTTAGTCCTAGTAGAAGTTAAATCTTAAAAAATGTGCTTGATTTCATGATCATCGCCAAATAATTTATCTACATTAGTGTTATAAATTTTATATTTATGTGTAAGCACAAGTAATCCTAAACTTGTGAATGGTCCATCTAACGTGAAGGATGGCATTGTGGTGTGTGGTAAAAACAATCGCTGCTCTAATGAAACTCTAGTTGTTTTCTATTTCACAATTGAAGGATAAACTAGAGAGAGACGAAGAAACATTCTTTGTCATCTTGTAGAAGCTAGAGGAACCTATGTAGATGCTAAACACAAAGTTAACTAGCATTATAGTTGGGAGCAAATGATATCAATGTTATCTATATGATATTCAAACACCATCAATGTATATATTGAATATTCCTCATTGACATTAAACCTATAATATTTATTTTCATGATGTCTATTAATGATTTAATAAATATTTAATAACTATTCTGTAAATAAATTTTCACTTGAAATTTTCAAACCTAAGGTCACCAAAACTATCAAATGTGGATCAAGAAACAAGGTTTATCTTTAATGAATTCAAATTGATGTCTATCAACAATACCACTAATCAATAACTTTTTACAGGTAAATCATTGTCATCTTTTTTAGTATATTGATCTTTTTATTATTATGTATCAAGATGATGCTTTGAAAAATATTTAACCTTAGAAGAATATGTGGAGTATTTGCATTTAGTCCACCATAAATATGACAATACTAATTATTTATCAACTTAATAAAGTATACCTTCACCTTAGAGAAAGTGAGCTTCTTATGCCACATCATTCAAAAATGTAGCCTATGAATGAACGATATCAAGGTCTACACCATTGACAACTAACTTGTATCAAATCAAGTTATAAATTACAGTCCCTCTTGGGATTCACCATTACCGCCATAATCTATTACACACCTTGACAAACTTACTACTTAAGAAAGTCAATTAACAATAAATGAGAGACATTCAAATACCTTTTAAGAAGCTTTAGAATGTAGGGAAAACTAATTTGGTCATAGAAGCCCTATACTTCAATTAACCATTTAAATTATATACTTACAGATTTTACTTTACTATCATTAGAGTATTGACGCATAGAAGATGGTTAATAATATATAAGACTCATGACCTCAATGAGACAACAAAAGTATTTTCTATATGAAAAGATTTGATAATAATTACTCTCTTCTTGAGAGAGTGATAGCATTATCCCTAAGGTAATTTATGATTTATGTTGACAACATCACCCCAACTTACTAAAGTTTCAAAAGAAGTTTGACTTTGAAGTAGATACTATGACAAAACTTTTTACAACACGACCATTACACTTTGAAGTGAAAAAGATTTGATAAATCAACATGGTAGTCAATATCATTAAGAACAAAGGATTCAAGGTAAGGACTATTTTAGAACTAAATTAATCGATCTTATAAAAGTTTGGCACAACAATAAACATAAATCATGAGAGGTGTCTATTACAATTGGTCCAGCAAGATGAACATGTTAATTTTAAGTAGAGGATGAAGTTATCTATGCAAGCAAGCACTTACCATAAATGTCACGTAAAGGTAGATTGTGTCAACACCTACAAAACTAAGTACATCAAAGAGTGAATGTTTGCAGTGATATCTAAGAGGTATAATTGATTAGATATAGACAAAAATGTGCAGACTACTATACTAGTAATATTGATGTTTTTGTTATAATATGACAAAAGATTAAATAAAATGTGCAAAAGTCATAGGATGATTAAGGTTCATTTCAATAGATTTTACCATTCACCTACTAATAGTGAATGACTGACATGCAATTTTTGTTGCCACACATTGTTCTTTAAGCATATTGTGTTTATGGCAACATGTATTAATAGTCAAATAGAAGAGGTGGAGAGCATCTTCATGATCATAAAATGTCAAGGCTATCACATGACATTATGAGTGAATGGGAAACATAATACCCCTCTTTGGATTTGTGGACACAACTTCAATCATACACAAGCAAATAGATTAAGAAGATCAATGTGATGCTCAAAGAGTATTTGCTACACTATGTAATTATCAATTAAGGTAAGAGTTATTTAATAGATTTTTTTTTTATAATTTTCTAACAATCTATATTAAAACTTGGTGACCTTATAGTCAATATTTTAGTAATAGGGAACAATTTTTAACATTGTCAAAGTTGACAAAATAGTCTAGACCAACACATTACCCAATTGTACTCAACTTTCTATAACTATATTAAATGTGACATAGAAGTTATTTGAGGTATTAACAAATGTAGCTTAATGGATAATTTTTTTCCATATCCCCATCGGTGTGAAGTAGATTTTAATATCATCTTCCAAGTTTCACTACAACTAAATGAGCAATTACATAAGAATGTAAGAAAGAATAATGGTATTAAGAATTGGTACCTCAATTTAATAAACCATTCAATATTTGGTTCAAGTAATAAGGATGGGCTATGACTTCAGTCCATTAAAAAAACTAGGGATCTACCTAGTATTCTATTTTTATAATAAGAGGGTACAATTAGACAAGGAATATATAGAGCACACTCATCATCAGCACACACCACCAATTGATGGGTAGACACTCCACTGCAATAGTAAAGATATCTTTAGAAGGAAGAAACTTAATGAAGGTTGACAATTCCACACTAATTATTTTTACTTCCTTGTCAAGTGGAAGTGAGCCTAGAGAAGGATGTTTTTTGAAAGTACATCATTGATTTTAAGTAATTTAAAGACCTAATCAACATACAAAAAAACTATGATGAAGATGAACTTATGTCATGAAAGAAGATGTGACTCCTCCAATATAATGGATTGAGGTTTCTAGGAGCATAACAACACTATTGACATCAAGTGGTGGTGACTTGTGCAGAACACACATAAGAATGATCATTGCATGAGTAGAAGTGTATAATGGAAAAACATATGAAAAAGAAGAATATGATGGCATGACATGATATGTACAAGTTATGTTGGCTTGCACAACTACATACATCACTCAATGAAGAAACACTAACAAGAAGTAAGATTGATAGAAGAAAATCTCAAATCTCGTAGGTGAAGTGCATGTAGAAATACACATGCTATCATAATAACGTGTATATTGACACATGAGATGTGAAAAGGGAGGCATGTGAAGTGCAGAGGGAGAACTTGGTTCTCCTATAATGTGATCAAGGTGGACTTAGGATTACCACTAGTAACATAAATGACTCAACAAGCATAGCATGTTAAGCGAGTAGCATGGCACATGGTATTAGATGGTTATAGTGATAGATATGATGGTTACACACACAACATCAATGCCACCCACCAATATAGATTAAGGTGAACCATATCTAGTTAGTTAATGGTGGTCGTTTATTAGGTATGTATCCCACACCCTTATAAGAAAGGTCCATTTATAAAGAAGACTAAGAAAAAGAGAAAGTTATCACCACAAGTATTATATTCCTTTAAGAAATAGAATACAAGTTTTCTAAGTGGTCAAAGTTTCAAAATATTATGTAGTGTCAAGAGAGTTTGTTTGGTTTCACTAAGATGACTAATGTTGCACACAATTAAGTGTTTCAAAGATATATCAATATTAACTATATGACATTCACTACTAATAATATTTTCTTCCAAGACAACATAAGACTAAAAATAGACTAAATTTTCTAACATATTTGGAGCATTATATAATAATTCATTCTTTAGTTGGCAATCAGAAGACACTTTTTAGATAATACCATTGATACACTTATTGACAAAAGAATGATGCTTGGTATGGGAACATTAATTTATCTAGTGAGCATCCTCACTACCATAGTAGTCATTATTAATAATTATAGTTGATCCACTCATGCATTTGGCTTTGATAATTATAAGTAAAAATGTATTAATAATTAATTATTTATTATCAATGGTTATGTCACAAGTATGTCTCAAATATTCAATACATTTAACATAGTTATTATATGAATTACAACTAACAGTCAAACCTAGGCTATTAATTGTTAGGATTAAGTGGTTCTTAAACTAAAGTATAAAAGAGTATTAATTAAAGAATTATCTTCAAGTGAAAAGGCATATAGATAGTTAAATGGGTATAAGTCTCAACAAATCATAAGAAATATCTAATCATAGTATAAAGCATTCAGTATTTTGAAATGATGTTAGACTAGCTCACTAAACTATCACATGAATTAAATCACATAAGAAATAAGAAAAAGAATGAGATATTTAAGTTTCATATAAAACATTTGGATGGTGATGTATCAACTACTTATGGGAAGAAAAGGTAAAACTTGTTGACTTGTGTTTGAAGTGAACATTCAACTATTCTTCATCAAGTTAGGAAAATTTAATTCAAATTTGAACAAAAATGGCCATAGGAATATAAAACATTATTCCTTATAGGAGGTTCAAAATATTAGAAGGTTCAAAAGTCATTATTCTGCAATCTAGAAAACACAATTTTTTAATGAAATTATAAAACATTGAAGATCCAATAAAATCAAGAAACAATTAAATGAAAAAAACCTATAGGAGAAGGCTTCTAAATCAAAAAGAAATTAACTACATGAAAACACAAGGTGAACATTAAGCTCTTTCAACTATATGCATCAACAACACATGATAGTGATGTATCATCTTTATGATTTAATTTTGACAAATTAACAACTTAATCATCATGATATATATTCTCCATTAGGCCCTAAGATAAATGAGTGACTAGGGGAAAATATTTTAGTGAGGACACAAGGTGTTGATAGTTGTCTTAGCCTTGAAAAGGGCTAGGTCTCTAAGGAGACAAACTTGAAGTGTTTTGATGATTGATCATGTGAATATCAATATTTAATTCTTAATAAAATTAGTTAATACTTGAAGAATTTTTTTAAAAAAACTAGATGTCGTCAAGTGAGGGACAAACTAATATAAAAATCCCTAATGTTATTAGTAAGAAAGAGCTAATAGATCTTATCTTGTACATATGACTTAACACATCTATTGAGACATACATATAGGTGTAGTATAAATGAAAATATATATAAAAATCATAAAAACAACTCAATTAATTCTCCCCCTCTTAGTGTTTCACCTAACTCTATACCTTTAACAATTATTATAAACGTCCATACAGAAAAGGGTTACTGATCTCAAAACTTCTTCTTACAACTAATGTCATCAAATGTGATATCTACCAAAGAAAAAACAATGTCATCATATGCAAGCTCAAGAATGACTTTTAAGAGAAACATTTATGACATTAAATATTTTGTCAGCATATCACGTAGATCTTTCAACGTGAGCATGACCATCCGATTTAGGTGTTTCAAACCTTCAAGGAGACAGCATATTTGCACTTGTCTGATGTATTGTTCCTCATTTTGAGCCTAATATTTATAGAAACATTTCCATTAATCTTCTTTTTGTTCAAAACCATTTGGGTTTCATTGTCGTAAGCTTCCAATTATTGCTTGAACAACTTTTCCCAAGGGGAGGGAAGCTAAGATGACCGATATGTCAGATGAGAATGGGCAATTGTGTGATTCCTTATCGAAAAGTCTATAACATAAGGATAAACAATTTGTCACCTTCACCTATGGTGGACGACTGACTTCGGAGATGATTCCACTTCCTTGTAGGCATGTGGCCCTTTAACTTTGCCGCCCTTCGGCCCTCATTCGAGAGTTGCGACGAGGGGCTGCAATCTCAAGCTTAAAACATAAAATATCGCGCTTTGTTTTCTTGCTCTCTCTCTCTCTCTCTTTCTCTGACGCCTAGCAGGTCATCGATTTAGCGCAACGTCCGACGCTTATTAGCAACTGACCGGTGCAACCATATAGTACTCTATAAAATCTCTATAAAGACATTCTGGTGCCCCCATCCTAGACCAACACTAAACCACCCTCCAAAGTTCAGCCGCCTTGGCCCTTGACCACCGATTAGCAAGGTACGTGAGCCAACGTCTCAACGACAAACCATCTCATAAAAACACACAAAAAAACAAATAGAGGGCTATACTCGCTAAAAATCTTTTTCTCTCTCACACGGTCTACTATTCCATTAACGGGAGATCATAGTCGTGTCCCACAAATCACTCAAAGGCCATCCAATTCCCAACTGTAAACTCAAATGTATTATTCGCTAACTGGGTATGTACCTCATCCACCGCGGCCCAGTCTCCGCTGATTTCACTCCCAGTGCTTTGTGTATGTATCCATGCTATATGGAAAAAGGATCTTCGAAGCACCAAGGGCTTCCTGTCCCTGAGGCTACCCTCAGTCGTTGCCGAGGAGCCGGGCTGTGGTGGAGTGAGAGTGGCCGTCTTCTTTGCTGCTCTGCATAGACAACGATGAATCTGCCCACGGCCCGTCCATGGACACGGCCTGACTATGCCCATCCTGGGAGAGCTTCTCGAAGGACCTGAACCTCAGCTCCATGCTCTCTGTCCGGGTGATCTTCATGGTCGGGACTTGAATGGGAGTATGGCCCTCGAGCATGCTGACCACAGTGGACATGGCAGGCCGAAGAGTCGGGGAAGGGTTGGTGCACACGAGGGCCAGGTTCAGCATCTGCTGCGCTTCCTCCACGGAGAAGTTGGTACCCAGGGCGGGGTCCACCAGTTCAAGGAGGGCACCATTCTCCTGCAGCACGTAAGCCTGAGAAAAACAGAAAACCCATTAGCAAGAAATCTATACATATATATTATGATGACACAATAAAACGAATGTTGCATACCCAATCGAGAAGGTAGATGAAGTCCTCTTTGGGGCGACAGTTGGCGTTACTCTTTCCACTCACAATCTCCAACGTGACCACGCCAAAGCTGTAAACGTCTGCCTTGTCCGTCAAGTAACCCCTCATCGCATATTCAGGAGCCATATAGCCCCTGGAGCAAAACAATCCAGACGCTGGTCAGCACAAGAGACAATTTTGCAGAAACAAATTGGTGTTTTTCCTATTAGATTAAGCGAGGGTGATGGTAGGTGTTTTTCCTATTAGACTAAGCAGGAATGGTACGTATGATTTTACGGTAAGACTAACATGGCTTAAAACAAAAATTTCAAGCTGATGAGACACAAGTGCCTACAGGTCAGAAATGTTATCAAGAACTTCAAGGAAAGTCAGGAAATTCTAATACCATACCTAAAACTCCAATATTTCAGAAAGAGAGTTTGCTTACATGGTTCCTGCTATCCGCGTGCTGATATGGGTATTCTCCTCTTCATCGAGTTTTGCCAGTCCGAAGTCTGATATCTTTGCATTCAGATCCTTATCAAGAAGGACATTCGTCGTTTTGATGTCTCTGTGAACTATCTTCAGCATCGACTCTTCGTGAAGGTAGGCCAAGCCCCTTGCTATTCCTATGCAAATTTTACGCCTATTTCGCCAATCCAATTCCAACTTCAACCCTTCAGGTCCTGTCAACACCATGATTGTTACATGCATGTTACACACCCAACAACCTCATAGAATAAATCCAGCAAAGAAATTCCCAGAAAGTAGTAGGCAGAAATTACAAAGAGAGAAAACCGTAAGATGGTTACCAAATAGGGCTCGGGCAAGGCTGTTATTTTCCATGTATTCGTATATCAGCAGCAACTGATTCCCTTCAATGCAGCACCCATAAAGTTTTACGAGGTTCGGGTGCTGTAGGGCTGATATCATGCCTATCTCGTTCACAAATTCCCGGTTTCCTTGCTTTGACTTGGATGAAAGCTGCTTCACGGCAATCATAGAACCGTCCGGAAGAACCCCCTGAAAGTTTTCAACATGTGTTTATTACTAAAAGGCTCTCAAGATAACACCAGGACTGCATTTCAGACATAACGTAAAACCGAATGAAGTCATGATTATGTGGTTGACCTTGTAAACCGGACCAAATCCACCTTCACCAATCTTGTTTTCGGGGTCGAAGTTTCTCGTGGCAGCTTTGATTTGTTTTAAAGTGAAAGAGCCTGTTGGCAACTCCAAACCTTTGAACTCTGCTCAGAAGATTACAAAAATGGTGACAAATGCCATCAGTATAATAACAACGAAGTAAAAAAGATCTATGCCAAAACAAGAGGCATCTCACCATCGTTCTCCATTGCCATCCTTCTCAGATAAAACCATATTATACCCAAAACCACCAGCATCACTAACACAGTTGAAGCAACAGCAATTCCAACAATACCGCCAACTGGAAACTTTTTGTCCTTGAACACGCGAGGTGTGAAATCTACAACGCAAAAAAGTAATTAGAATCAACCAATCAGATGATAAAGAAAGAGCGGAAAACATCTCCATGTACGTACCCGGTGTTACAGAAATTGCTGATATAAGAGGCCCGTAGACGCTTCTGTACGGAATGGCATTCGTCCCTTTGCCAGACCACACGAAATGGATCTCCAATGTGCCACTCTCTACAAGGGCAGTAAAATTCCTGGTAACTTCTATACCAGTCCCATTGGCTGCTGCTACGATGTTAAAGTCTCTTAACACCTTTTTTCCCTGTTTCAATGCAGAGAGTTTTATCAGCTGGATCAACATACTATAATGCACAAGTACTCACAAAAAAAACCATGAATCGAAAAAGGTAATAACTGAATACCAATTAACACATTTAAAAGAGGTATAAAGATGATATCTCGTTTTCAAGAAATGATAACATGTTTCCAAGCTACAAAGAGGGTCTTCAGTGACAACCGCATGTATGAACGAAGCTTGGATAAGAACCACCACATATGACACTAAATCACGCAAGAGAATGGTATTGTGGGATAAAATAATCAGGGATGATCGTCTTGAAGTGATCGAAAAGAGTATCACGGATTTCTGCAAGAAAAGAGCAATAATAAACTATATGCATTCATCAAGATTGTTAGTCCAAACGATCCAAATCACCTGGATTGATACATCAAATACACGCCTTCCAAGACTGCCATATGTCGGGCCAGGAGTGAAAACTATTTCAGCAAAGTGCAGTTTGACTGTATAATTTCCTGGCTGCAAGCACAGACCATAGTATTTGAGAGAAAGAGGACTCAAACGAGCAGTTTTGTACAATTCTGCATTGGGCATTGTCAATGTTGATGTATTTTCTGCTCTAAATCCTGATTCCTTGTTTCCCCCAATAAAGTTTCCTGTACTGCTAAAAGCCCACTTTCCGCTGCTAGACAGATAATATTTGGATGTGCCGTCCACTGTTGCATCGCGTTCATATTCGTTGTCGTTGTCGTTGTCGACAACAGTCACACTTTCACCTCCACAATTTATGAAAAGGTTATAGTCTGTAAAAATTCCAAAAAGCCCAATAAAAAATCAATCAAGAGAACGTCATCATGTTCAAATTCAAACTTTCTAATCACAACGATGTTTTCCTCAAGCCCCCGAAAAGAAAAAATCAAATTGAAAAGGTACAGCAGCTGTCTTGTAGAAAGGAGATTTTATACCCACTTTTAGGTGTGCCATCGCAGGGGAGGTCCTTTCTTAAACATGACGCTATCCTACAAAGGTTAAACGGAGAATGGATGACTTAGACACTTGAGATACCCAGAATATACAATTCAACAATGTCAGAAACCTACGAGTCACTTGTTGTTGATGAAAAGCTGGCAACAAAGTTCCTGCAAGTTAGGTAAACCTTGTTTAATTCCAGAAAAAAGAATTAAATTCCATAGGTGCCACAGACAAAAACCATGCTTACCGTGATTCTTGCTCACAGTTATCGGGCGCAGATGAAAGATCGGTGAATGTATTGTAAGAAATATCCCTGAAATTTTAAACATACTATTATATAACAACTTATACGGAACCAAAAATTCACTGGGACAAAAAATGTCAAAACTTTGCTGGAAGAAACGTACATTTTTTTGCTGCTTTTCTTAATCCAACCAGGTATTGATCCAGTAAGTTTGTTGCTTGTAAGGTACCTGATTATGCAAAATCAACACCAAGTGTGGAATACGATAAAAGTATCACGAAAATGTTGCTTAACGAGGAAAACGTATGACTCTTCTAATTTTGTTAGTGGCCTATTAAGTTGAATCATCTAGTGAATCGAACCCTCAGTCACTTACATAGTGGTTAATTTTCCGAGATTCGCAAAATTTCCTGGTATCTCCCCCGTCAAATTATTAAAGCTCAGATCTCTGCAGCACAAGTTCATAAAAAAAATGTGAAAAATAGGAAACCAAAATAACTGTTCTCCCTACGACCAGCCAATATGATTTTCAAGGTACAAATCCTCTTTTCAAGATAAACGAGCAATTCATATTGCTTATAATCTAACAACTATGAGAGAAAGAAAAATAGCTGCATGAAAAGCATTAATGGGAGAGCAGGTGTGCAGCGTACGATGGCGTCAACAATTTTCTAGTTTGACGTGCACAAGAGATAGGAAATTTAACCGAAAATTCATTCATTTTCTGAGAATAGGGTTTCGATATTAAGGTTCCTAAAAACTTCCAATTTTTTAAGGGTTGTTCGAAGAGTACATCTAATGGAATACTGCCTAAGGTTGTGATGACTACATTGTTATTTATTAAAGTGAATTTCACCCCAGAATTAAGTGCGAATCTGATTCATTTCCTACATCTCTAATAACCAGTGCCTCCGACTTCTTTTCTAGTATATTATCTGTCTAGAGTTCTAAACTACGGTTTGCTTTTCAACCAATCTGTGATAAAGAGGGAAATCGGCGATTTTGTTATGAATGACCAACTATTATGTCGACCGACAACTGGCAACATCAATGCCTATGTAAATACAATCATCAGAAAAGGGTGTCAATCGAATATCTGCATCAAGCTCGATGCCCAAACTTCCTTTAAGAAATAAACAGACCAGAAAAAGAAAATTATACTCGGAATGAAGGCTTATGGATGACTTCAAATTAGTAATTTACACCATAGGATGTAGTCTGCACGTATCTGGGGCAGCGCCCGTAGACACTGCAGAATTCTGACATAAGCGCGCCTATCACATGCAGATGTTCTAAACCAATGCAAAGATGTAGCGCGTCTCTGCTTGTTCAAGGCGTCATAGCAACAAAATTTTAGCGTAAAATATATAAAAAAATCGTCAAATCTCAGCATGATATCACTTACTTAATAAATTATGCAAACATTTGGGTTCAAGGAGCTGTACAGGATTTGCAGTTTAGTAAATGTGCCAATGTAATCCGGGATGCTGCCAGATATTGAGCAATTTCGGAGGACCCTGACATTGTTCACAAAGAAAACCAATCAATAAATCGTCAAAAGTATATTAATGCGGATGGATAAATGCCATTCGCAGTCTTACAATTGTTCCAGATTTATCAGTTTCTCAAGGGGAGGGAAGCTACCGCCCGTATTTTTCAGGTCAGAGACTCTCCTACAAAAGGAAAGCAAACATATCTATTATCACTATACTGAACTACCACAGACAACGGCCCTGATTACGGGAAAAGAGTAGAGTCACACGCACAACTCCGTTATGTTCTGCAATAAAGAGAACTCGGGTGGAAATGGACCCTCCATAAGTGTTCCTTGCATGTCACTGCGAGATTAGAAAAATGTACTATACCCCATGAGAATGCCATATAGTAAGCATATCCTTTTCAGATGATAAACTGCGCTGGAAAAAGAAACATAAAGACAGATGAGCTTACAGTCTGTCTAGTTTGGTCCAGTTCCCAATGAAGCTTGGTATCTTCCCAGATATCTCGGTCCCATCCAGCCTACTGGAAAATATCATCGGGCACCGATTGTTAATACTAAGATGAGCATAACCTCATGAAGAGTCCACAAATATAAGAGCAGGAACCGTACACGTCTGTCAAGTTCTTCAGGTTACCCAGTGTTTCTGGAAGCTCACCGGAAAAGTTGTTACAGGAAAGAAGCCTGAAATGGCGTGAACAGATGTCACTTATTTTCTTTAACTAGTCACATAAGTCACGATTACTCTAACTACAGTTTCTTCTCTTCTGTTTGATTCACGTAAAGGACGAGAATTCAATTAATGGAGAACAATGTGCCATAAACTAGAGGCTTACAGTCTGCTTAAGTTGGTCAAACTTCCGAGGCTACTGGGAAGAGGTCCTTGCAGCAAATTGCCCTCCACGAAACTTCAACGAAAACATTCAATAGGGAAAAAAATGTCGATCAACATTCATTGCCAATATAAAATTCCGGCTGGTGATAAAATGTCTTTGACGAATAGGATATAACGTCCTTACAGGACTTCAAGCGTTCCAATCCTGCCTATCTCCTCAGGAATCACACCCGAGATGCGGTTCGCCAGAAGGTTTCTGCAATGGTACACAACAAAGCCCTTGGTAAGGTCCACTAACACCTAAACCACATAATAGAGAAATCGACCTTGCATCGACGGGGATGGAAGGATCGAAATGGTGGTGACTTACAAGTTATTGAGAGGAAGGGAAGTCCAGTTAGCGGCAGGTATGGAGCCATTGATGTAGTTCCGAGAGAGGTCACTGCTCAGCTCCACCGATTCAGAGGATACGAAAATTGAGCGTGAAAGATGTTAAGCTCTTCAAAGTTCAGAGGAAAGAATGGAGGAACACTATAATTTAGGTCGGCGAACGTACAGAGAGGTCAGGTGACTGAGCTTGCCGAACTCCTCCGGCAGCACTCCAGTCAGATTAGCTGCCTTGATATCGCTGAACAAAAATTTTGTCCCGACAAATACGAATCAGCAACAGCCGGACATAGACAAGACCAGGACAGGGAATGCTACAAAGGAGGGGACAGCGTAAGGGGCATACATGCTGACGACATGCAAGGTGGTGGTGTTCGTTGTAGTGTTCCCGGTGACGTTCGTGGTGGTCGTGTTCTGGCAGGTGACATTGTGGACGTAGAGGTCCTTGTTTTCCTTAGTCCATTGAGTGCAAGGATCTACGTCGAAGTGCCACAGCGTCGCCGGAATCTTCAGCTTTGAAGCGATCTGCTTGAGCGCCTGGACTGATCGTTCCCGCGCGGTGCGCCGCGGCGGTTGTTAGAACTCGAAATAAGAAAGAATTGCATATATACGAATATATATAGATGGGGAGAGAGAGAGAGAGAGATGAACCTGGTACAGAAAATGAATAAATAAAATCCTTATATCGCCATGGAATCGAATTCGAAGATGGTTCTGTAACTGAATACGTTTGGAAATCTTTCCGATTGCCCAGAGAATTTTCTTACTCCATGCGGTCAGGGAAAGGAAATATTTGCCCGTTTAAAACTAAAAAACAGACTAATGGTCGCCAGCCCACCACCCAGGCTTGAGAAGACAAGCAAAGTTAAGACCGGGCAGGGGAGAGAGAGAGAGAGAGAGAGCAGCTCCTGGCGATTCCGTGGCGAGGAGAAGCATAGCGGAGAAGAGTGGTCGTCGGTATAACTCACCTTCCTCCGGGGGGAGAGTCAGCGCATGGGCTCCCCGGTACTGGAGACAGCAGTTCAGAGTCACCGCCAAGAGGAGGAAGAAGAACAGAGCTCGGGGGAGCCCCGCTGGAGCAGCTTCTCTCATCTCTTCTCGTCCTCTTCGCGTCGCCTTCCGGTCGAAGAACAGGTGGGTGAGGAAAGAGCAACAAAGCAAGCTGGGAATCCCCGCTATTTCCTGGTACATGTGAGAGGGAGGGAGGGAGGGATGGATGGCCGGAGTTGTAGTCTACAGCATGGGGCGCAGAACGAGCACAAAGAACAAAGAAGGAGAGGAGGGGGGGTTGACTTGGCGGCGCCGCCAGCCTGTACAAATCCATCCGCGGGGAAGTTCTATTCAACGGCGCGCCAGCGGATATTAGGAATATGAAAAGATTTTGACAACGGCGATGGCCGGACAGTGACGGCCGCCTACTGCGGCTGTTGAGGCGGACAGGGTGAGGCGCGGCGGCGCAGGTTGACAACTTGGCTGATGACCTCCACGAGAAGGGACCGATCGGCGGACCCCAGCATCCTTCGCACCCCAGCTTCCACCTATTGAATGCAGAAATCAAGTTAACTTCAGTTTTGGGGTAACCTCATCAATGGCGCAAACCCCCTACGGTCTCCTGGTTTCACACTTGGAGCTCGGCATCCTTCCAGGGTGTGGACAGGCCCAGACAAGCCTCAGGTCAGACCCCGTTGACTAACTCTCTCCGAGTTTTACTTTGAGACGACTCTGATAAACGGAGTTGGGCCGAGATAAAGTTATCCCTGTGAAGGAATATGTAGAAGTCACATCCGGAAGAAAAATGGCGATAGAACCCCCACCAACCTGTGATTTAAGCTTGGTCAACGATAGCCGATGGGGGTTCGGTTGAGCTATAACTAGAATGAATAATTTATCAGTTACAGAAGAGGATGATCTGACCACGCAATGAATTTTCTTGACCTATTCTTATTGTGAGTAAAACTCGAATGACAACCCATCGACGGCGACTGCTCCCGTCTGCGGGTTCGAATGGTTCGCTTGGCCACAGAGACCCCATTAAAATGAACTTAAGATTAAACTTGTACGGACCTGTCCATGGTGGAAGCCTTATCTCTCTCTCTCTCTCTCTCTCTCTCTCTAGGACTGCAGAGCACAAAAGCCGTATCCACATCTCATTTCAATGTTTAACCGGACAATCTCGAGCAAATTTTGTGGAGCAACCCACAAAGTTAATCTGCTTACGAGCCTACATAGAATGGATAAGAGCATAGAGACGACCCAATCAACCCAGAGGCATCCTTTTATAGTTACAATGTCACAACATGAAGAATAATATAGAGAGGGAGGTGCCCATTAGGCGACCAACTACTCATAACCTTTGCCATTGCCCAGAAAAATTCAGCCTCATGAGCATAACGAAGGTAGCATTCGCACGAGGGTTAAGTAGCGTTGACCAAGGTGGCTGATCCATCCTTGCGTGATGTCAACGTCAACGTAGCCAGTAATGCAGTTTCTCCCGAATACCCTTTGCAAACTTCTTGCATGACTTAATGAATCCCCAACGAGCGGAAAATACGGAAGAAATGGGATTCCCTGGTGAGCCATCCATCCAGATCGTTGACCCTTCAGTTTGTGTGAAGTTGATCAGATGCTGAGCTGTTCTTCACTGACATAAAAGTGCTCCCACATGAGAATGTCTAGGTCAACCCAGACGTCATTGTAATTCTGTGAGTAGAAAGGTGTGAGAAGCACCATCCTCTATGCAAGTATTTTAATGGAAGAACACAGCATTAAGCAAGAACATTAATTAAAAAATAATAATATCTAGTTTCCATGGGCTATATAAATTAGCCACCAGAGCAGCTATTTTGCTTACCTCTCATGTGAATGTAACTTAACTGGCTCTGGAGACATCGCTCAGTGATTCACTTGTCGATGTGTGAAAAGCAACGTTCTCATCGTCACGTTGAGAAATCTCTGACACGCCTGGAGAGTTATGCAACTGCCCGTTCTTTGGTTGAGAGTCGGAAGATAACTTTTTGAGAGCACCGGTGATCCAATCGTCATTCACCGAAGCATCCTTGGTAGGAATAGGGACATCGATTTCTCCAGTGAGCATTCTTGCCACTGTAGACATCGCGGGCCTCAGAGTGGGAGAAGAATTACAGCAAAGGAGAGCCACGTTAAGCAATCTCAGAGCTTCTTCCTGCGGGTAATCCAGATTCAAGCTCGGGTCCACCAGCTCTATCAGTCTTCCCTCCTCTAGAAGTAGAAAAGCCTGTAGGTTCCAAGAAAAGGGAAACCAGAAGAAAATATACCACATGGATCAAAATCCATAGAAAATAATTCATGGATAAGTAGAATCAGTAGGGTAAAAATCTAGGCGCCTCTCGTTGTAGTAAGCTAAACTTTGAAATCTTGATGAAATATCAGAAATGTGTATCATGCATTTCAGCTGAGGGAATTGGTGACCAATCAGAATTTACCAAATCAAGAAGGTGAAGAAATGTCTCATCTGCGTTCTTCTTTCCGCTAACAACTTCCAATACCACCACTCCATAGCTGTATACATCTGCTTTGTCCGTCAAGTATCCTCTGGTGGCATATTCAGGAGCCATGTAGCCTCTGAAAATATAGAAAAATCAAAGCGAACATCACCGTCCATTGAATCCCAACAATGATGTCGTATACTATCTAAATTTAACATTCTGTGGGGAACTGAGCACGGGAACAGATTAGGGTGAGGATATTGGAACAGATCAGGTCGCCGATAAGAAATTTTTGATGAATATTTAACGCCAAATTGACCTTTTTTTCAAAATAATTGGAAATATAAGAAGAAATTGTAGTACCCGTATGAATAACTTTCAGATATTTCTGGCGCCGTGAGGAGACCCTCAGGTCAAACCATACAATTTAAAATAATGTTTTTAAAACTATTCTAGCGCGGACCAAAATCAAATCCTGAGCAAAGCCCAACCAATTCTAGCTGAAACCAGGGGTTTACAACTAGCGAGAGACTAGATCAAAACATTTTCCCAAGATTTTTTCTTTTTGAAAACAGGGGGGCGAGAAACATATGTGGGGTTTGAATGAGATAGAATTTAAACACAACAGGAGGTTATGAATGAAACAGAGGATATGGGCACGCATACATACTGAATAGAGAGGGAGGGAGGTGTCTTTCTCGAATGTTTATGTCGAGGTTATGGAGGAGTTTATACGGGGGGCCACACAGCTACATTGTCTTTTGCATACTGATCTTTGTTAGGGTGGGGATTTCGAAGAAAACGAGGAAAAAATAATGTCAGAAGTCTTATGAGATTTGTGGATAGATCAGCCAATTCAAAACTCAAACCAGGTTTCCAACACCAAGAAATAGGCATCCGACCGTTTTTTTCAAATGCTTTGTAACTCAAAAATACTAGAGTGTTCGATTATCATCATGGATATCCTCATTCCGTTCAGATCCATAAAAAGTTGTAACACAAGACTAAAACGTACAGTAAATTTGACGTGGAAGTACTCACACAGTTCCAGCGACCCTCGTGCTGATGTGGGTGTGTTCCTTTTCATACAGTTTTGCTAACCCAAAATCAGATATTTTAGGATTGAGATTCTTATCAAGAAGGATATTGGTGGCCTTGATGTCCCGATGGACAATCCTAAATACTGATTCCTCATGAAGATATGCCAACCCTTTTGCTACCCCCAAGCAAATTGCATATCTTGTAGACCAGTCAAGCTTCAGCCTGTTTCCCTCGTGACCTGTATTAGGCTCAGAATATTCAGCTCAGAAATCAATTGGAATAAAATAGAAACATGCAACAGTTACCACATAAAGGCACGATATAACTAAAGAGATGAAAGTAATATGATAGAGAAATAATGAACTAATGAATACCAAATAGCGCACGGCCAAGGCTGTTGTTTTCCATGTACTCATACACCAGAAGCAACTGATTTCCATCTATGCAACATCCAAAAAGCTTTACGAGGTTTGGGTGTTCTAAAGCAGATATCATGCCGACCTCATTCAAAAATTCACGGTTTCCCTGGCTTGACTGAGAAGAGAGCTGCTTCACAGCAACCCGAGTGCCATCTTCCAGAAGACCCTGCACTTGTACAACTTAGATATTTCGTATAAACCTCCGATGAAGAACAGAATTATGATGAAAAGGTTACGTGATGAAATACATATGCCAACTTTCTACAGTAAAAAAAAATTGAATCTATAAAAGTCGGGTCTACGATAGTGCCACTATAAAACTCAGGCATGGACAAACGTCGCTCTTAACATATTTCGTGATCGAGACATCATACACGCCTATAGGGACGGAAGAGCAAATGATCTTTAAGAATGATGAGAAAATTCAGTAACGTACCTTGTAGACAGATCCAAAACCCCCTTCTCCAATTTTGTTTGCAGGATCGAAGCCTTCAGTAGCTGCTTCAATCTGCTCCATACTGAAGTAGTATGTTGACCTTCCTTGGAGAATATTGGACTGATAACCTTTTTTAACACCATGAAGCCCTCGAGGGCAAAACTTAATGAACAAGTATAGAGAAATAAGCATAACCAAAAGAACGGATGCTCCTATAATCCCAAGAACAGCTCCAATAGAGAAACCTTTCCTATCTGTATCACTCTTGGAGCCTACATTGAGGAAACAATAAGACATTATGGCAAAGACTTTTTGAGTTGACATTATAAGATGAAAAACGTGCATGCCGACATCTTGACACCGCGCGATATATGACAAGATTTCTTACTTTGAGTAATTGAAATGGCCGATATAAGAGGTCCATATACAGCTCCTCTCTCTGGGATAATATTAGTGCCTTTTCCAGCCCAATATAAGTGGATTTCTAAAGTATTCCTTGTCACGAGTGCAGTAAAATTTTTAATAATTGGACGACCAGGTCCTCCAGCTTCATCTTCAATATTGAAATCCTTTAGAACTCTTTTACCCTTTCAAAGTCAAAGCAGCAAGCATCATGTGAATATTAGCAAACAGGTGCATATAAAAGCATAATAAAATGATTTGTGAATACAATCACAATAAATCTAGGAGCCCTTACAAATATTTGAAGTACAAGCATAAAGAAAAAAATATAAGAGTTGGAAAATTTTGAAGTGCATGATGATTATTTCACTTAATAATCAAAGAAAATAATTTCAACTCCATTAACTTCTAGCTGATCTTAGTGTGGTTTGGCAGAATCCTGGAAAAGTCAACTTGTTTTTTCTAAGTTAGGAAAAGAAAAGCCACAAAATTCTGCCGTGACCTGGCCTTCCATGTAAACGGGTCAGGCTCCTGTTAAGCAAAGGTCCGACCCAGAAAAATTATCTTCCCCCTCTTGTTGTAACATGATTCTTTTCTTCTATACTTTATACATTGTATCATTGTTTCGCATTTCAATGATTAAAATGCCATTTGAGATACTCCAGTGCCATTTCGATAATTTCATTAGGCGTTTTGAGTCATCATCTAAGTTTGAAGTCTCCTCACTGAACATTGCCTTAATTGCATCATTCTAAAGAAAAAAGTTAGACGATTATTTTTATGAGGTAGGTTTTGTCTGAGACAAGAGGGCTGAAACTAGGTTTTGTCTCCGGGTAATTCTCTTCCAAAATCTGTCACTGGTAAAATGAAGCATTCTTCTCTACAAATAGAGATTCTGAAGGGGCTGATCCCCACTAAGCAGAGGGAAAAGGTGGCCCACGGGAAGGGGCTACGTCTGTCTCTTTCATTCTAAGAAAAATAGGATGCCTCAAAACGAATTAAATGGCCTCACATTTATAATAGACTCAAATGTATTTTCAGTATTCTACGTATGTTTAGACAGCGCTAATTCAAATGAATTCTTATGAATTTTCTTGCAATCTCTTTGGAAGACTGATCAGAAAATCATTTGAATAAGTGGATGCAATTCTCAAACTGAGAGTGAACGACCATAAACTTTCTGCATGCTATATTTATGTTCTGCTTTTTTCTGCTATAGGGATTCTAATTCATCATATTCTTATCCTTCCACCATCCTCCCACATGCTGTAGTGGTAGTGACATGACGGTTCCTCTCTTCCAAAGTTTTCTCTGTGAAGCACTGACAATTGACTGCCACTCAGGCTGCTTGAACCACTGCTTTAAGTCGCTTTTCAACACCGAGGGCAGCTAGTCACCGGGGGGGGAGGGGGAGATTTCTCTAGGGCGTCATACAGAGGTAGACACCATATTTCTTCGCAACCAGTAATGGACAACAAGAAACAGCATCATTAGCAGTCAATCAACAATGGGTAAAGAGGGTGGCTTACTGCCCGTTCAATATCAGATCATCCCTTCCATACAGATTGTGGGACTTCTTGACACGGGGTCACTGCTCTCTTCCTTCCATAAACTTCTTACTTTTTCTGTTATCGATTGAAGCATTATTCAAACCTTATTGCACTGACAAAGAGGTTTTTCTTGTTAGTGGGTATCAAAATATGAAGTCGGGGTATCCCCATCTCCCAGCTCTTAAGCAGCCGATAAGAGAAGATGCATCCCTCATCCAATCCTTTCTTTGCTCCAAGGTCTAACCAACACTGGATGTCGTAAAGCTTGCAACTCTAAGTCCAGAACTTACTAAAAATAGTCCGGGAGCACCAGAATTTTTAAAGCCTAATCCGCTGACACATTAAGCTTGCCAAAGCATGACAAGATCCTTTAAAAGAATTTTAAACTGAAAAATAATTTAAACAAATGTCCTTATAACAAAATTATGGCTGCACCACCCCATGACTATCTTTGAATAACTTATGACTCAATATTTGTTCAACAATGGCATTTGAAACATCTTCGGACTCCTTTCAATAACACCATTGGGAAGTTTGAGGTCATATGTTCCCTGAGATTCCCCAATTCATGATAAGGTCAAAATAATGGACTTCGCAAATTCATTTCCAAGTCTATGCTTTACACTGCCGCCTAAAATAACACCTCAACAGTTATTTATAATGCCACGCAAAAAAAAATCACAAGTTTTTGTGATACTTACTCCCTCTACGTCACACACGTCCTTTGATCATGCTTCCCTACAGAGCCAGATCTTTTGAACGCAGCTGACTTAATAGTTTGATTGATACCTCTAACAGTGAATGTTTTATGCAATTCACCAATTACAAGTCCAAAAGACCAATCCGAAATGCCCTTTAACTGATCATTTGGTGTCATAGAAATGGACTGTAAAGTTATTTTAACTGCCATTGCAGTTGCATCATCATCAATGGTCACAAAAATAATCCCATAGTTTTGTACTCCAACCAAGGGAATCATATTACCCTTCCAATGATGACGGGCGATTGTCTGCTTACCGTTCCAGAGAAGAACATATTTTATCTATCTTTCACGAAGAATTGGAGTTTTGGTCATGGTTTTGGTGGGTGTCAATTTAGAAAATATCAAAGAAATTAACTGTCCTAAATCAAAGGGCCAACTTATTTACCCATCAACAGGTGTTTCTCTACCTCATGAGCAATAACTAGTAAGGCACACCAAGTTTCTCTTCACATCATCATCTCTGTCAATTCTTCAGAAAAACTGCGCATCAAATTGGCATGGTTTATGGTTACAACTAGATGAATGCAAGATTTACAAAGAATAAGAAAATGAATTACCCATGGATGATTAAGTATCCGGGAAATTTTAAATGAAATACCCTAATCAAGGTAAAAAAGCCTGGTATAGGAATTGTATGGCCATTTTATCCAAATAAAATTTTATACCACTTTTATACCTACAAAGACTGTTTACATCAATGCTGCGGATATATATCCATGGTCCTTTCTTGATGTGACCAAGAACATTTTGACTGTTTCATGTTTCTATTGGTGTTGATGAGTTTTTTGTTAGACACATCCGTGTTTGAACTTAATGACATCTGGTTCAATTCAATTGCTCTATGTGAGACTCAACATTATATTTTGTCAAATCCCATCATCTCCCTCGTAAACTGAGGGAAGCTAAGGTCATCAAAATCTTGTCTGAGAAAAGCTGTGTGTATCATGACGCGTTAGATATCAGGTTTTATAGGTACACTATTTTATCCCTATTTAATCAACAGAACATCTGGAGGGGATTATACATATTTCCTTTCTCGCTCATTCACTCGACCCTGAAATAACAAACTCAATGCCACGAGGCAAAAAATGAATGGTGATATATAATGCAAAATATTATGCTACAAACATCAACATCCAAGGACAGGAACTTTCATCGAAGGGTCAGCTAGTCTAACTAAACTCCTCTTAAGACTGGTGATGGGATTCAGACATACAGGAGAGATGCATGGCACCTACTTTGGGAACATCACAGGCATGTTTACCAAAGGTGAAATGGTAAACAGATAGAAGGCACGAAAAAACAGCTGAATTTTGAAGATAACAATTATGAGAAGTTATCATATCATGGCGACAAATGGAACCATGTCACAGGGAGCATTTGAGTCCCATCATAATGCAACTCATCCCTTTCATCATTCCCTCCATCTCAAGAACTTATTGGCCGTCCTAAAACATGGCAATTCAGACTGTTCCCCAATAAAAAACTGAACAATGAACCATAAAAGAGAGCAAATATACTTAATCCTGCGATTACGCCCTACCTAAGTTGCCTACTACTTTCATGTGTATATGAAGAGTTAGCAAAAAATAAATTATACTTGTCTGCCTAAGGTACCCAATAGCATAAACTTGAGAAATACAAATATTCCTCAAGTGCAATAGTCCCACGAAGCCTGCAAATAGTCCCACAGAAATTCTAGGCCACGTTCTTCGTCCCCCACAACTGCACTAGTCCATGTTGACTGAAGTTTCCAATGACAGTCGTCCTCATTCTGTGTACATTTGGCTATCGACATACTTTTTATTTAAAAGAATATTAAACATCTCAACAGAATATCAATAATACTTGGTGCCCTGAATCATTCTTGACCCACGAAGCTGGTCACAAAAGCACTCATTCACAGAACTGCATATAAAATGAGCACCAAGTTCCACGAAATTTTCCTTTCAGGAATATGAGAGAAGATTTTGATTCCTCTTTTACGTTTTTAGTTCCATATTTCAGGCATAAATTTCTAGGAAGGCTCTGAAGTTTATAACTAGCATACAAATTCAGTCTCTGAAAGAAACGTCAATCGAACTCAAGTTTTCCAAAAACAAATAATGGCTGAGAGAAACAGACCTACGATTTATGGGCCAATAAACTATGTAGCATAAAATGGTGTGACCTAAGAAAATTAGCAGCCTCACCTGTATCAGTACATCAAATAGTCTCCGTCCTAAGCTTGCATATGTCTCATCCGCAGTGAATAAAATCTCAGCGAAATGGAGGCTAACCGAATAATTGCCATCCTTTAAGCAGAGAGCATAATATTTGAGGGAAATAGGAGCAAGCCGTGCCTCTGTGTACAGATCTGAATAAATCGTGTGAAGCCCGGATGTGTTCTTCGCTATGAACTCGGCATTTTCATTAGCTATGAAGTCACCTGTACTGCTATATGCCCATCTTCCACTTATTTCATTAAAGGTCGATGTGCCTATCTTGGATGAGTCAGCTTCGTATTCATGACCTTCAACAAGGACCTTCGGTCCTCCACAGTTTATAAACAATGAAGAGTCTGTGAAGTACTAGAAATCAGAGGCAGAACATAAAGAGCGACAATTGCAATGCGGTATATTACAATCTAAACAGAATTTTCGCAATGCTTATGAATCTAGTCTAGTTAATCTATTTTAGCACTTACACTGTGGGTTAATTGGACATGGGATGTCTTTTCTTAGACAAGGGAGGATCCTGAGAAGAAAAGCAATAAGTTCGTACATTAACTCCTGTTTTCATTTAAATTTGAATTAAGTAATACTAAATGGCCGTCCTCAGCGACACATAAGGGAACTAAAATGGGAATAAGAAATCTTACGAGTCGTTATTTGATGACGAAAAGCTTGCAACCAAATTCCTATAAGAGGGACATTTGAGCGTCATATACTGGCATTAGAGAAAAATGAAGCATGACAAAAGAGAATCTTACAAATTTCCTATCTGACACGCGGAGGGAGGTGGCCCTGTAAACTTGTTGTAAGAGATATCCCTGTAAACAATCAACACGGATTCACAGTCAACACAATGGTAAAGATTACGCTAGAGCATCTCAAAGGCAGGCTATTTTCAAGGGAATAACCAGATAAAATGGCTCTTGGTTGCCAGAGGTTATATAACACGAAAGAAATTGGAGGCATGTGAAAACAAGTTCAATATTCAGCATCTAGTACATACATATTGACTTTGTTGATCTGCCTGTTTCCCAACATCCATGAAGGTATTTCTCCAGTCAGCATGTTGCTGGTAAGGTACCTAGATATGAAAACTTTCTCCAGTCAGCACTCACTACTGATTGATGATGCAAAGCAATGTCAAGGTGCGAAGAGAGCAGCGAAATTGATATCATCTATGGTTGAGTTTCTTACATGTATTCCAACCTCCTCAGCATGCCAAAGTTGTTTGGAATCTGCCCTGTTAGTTTGTTGAAGCTCAGATCTCTGCCAAATAAAAGAAAATATGTACAAGAATGAGAAATTAACGCGAGTTACTAAGGTGATCTGCTACATGCAACTGAAGTGCAGAATCAGAAGATAAACTTCATACACAAGCGTATGAAAGTTAAAGACCTTTCAGCAATTGCATTGAAAAAGTAAAGGGTTAAACTATAGAAAACCCATATGTTAAATATGCCTCTCATTCTATGGTATCCTTTGATCCTTCTATTACGCCACATTTTATTTTAAGTAGCCCTTTTGCTCCCGTGAATATATAATCATTGGTATTAGCTAAATGTGAGTACCTTAACATAAACGAAAATGGCCGAACAGGCATTTTGTAATAACATGTAATGTGTATTGATTTAAGAGGCACATTTTTTTCATTTCCTGTCTGTTACTACCCTCTTGTTCAGAGTAATTCGTAACTACTTCATCTGCATTTCTTTACATACGGAAAAGCCGGATTTATTATGAACCAAGAAATTTTTCTTAGGATTATTGATGCCAAAAAGCCATTTAGAAGATGACCAAAAGTCTACCCATCAACAATACAACAAACCACAGTTCTTTCTAGGAAAAAACTCGCTGGAACTAACTGCTTCATAAAACTACCAAAAATGTAAATATATGTCATAGAATATTCTTTTTTCAGCAACTAACAAATATTTAAATGAAGAAACTCACAGCACTTTAAGATACTCCATGGTCCCCATGTATGGTGGAATCTCACCGGAAATCGAACAGTTTCTTAAGACCCTGCCATCCAGGTAAGCAGTATTCTGCTATTTATTCAAACGACAAAATAATTTAGATTGATTGAGATAACACAAGCATTACTAAGCTCACAGTTCTGTTAAAATCTTCGCATTCTGAAGTGGAGGAAACGTCATGCTTGGTCCATCCAGATCAGATATTCTCCTGGAGATATTACTAAATATTAGACAAGAACACTGTTTAAAAATCAGCAACCATGAGGCAGTAACAAGAAAGATGCACTTACAATTCTGTTAGGTGTTTTAAGAAAGAGATGCTCAAGGGAATAGGACCATACATAGCAGTACCCTGCATGTCTCTGACAATCAACAGTTCATTAATTGTTGATGTATTGCCCCAGTTAATCTGTTTCTCATAATGGAAAAAGGAAACCCAATTGCATGATGATATCCATGCATGCTATACTCACTCACATCCTGTTGACTCCCGCCCAATTCTGAATAAAATCGGGAATCTGCCCGGTGATAGGGTTTCCATCTATCCTACTGAAAAAATATTTTTTCAAGTTATTACTGTGCTCAGATGACAATGGTTGAAGCAAAATATGTAGAAACAACATACAAATCTGTCATATTTGTTAACCGGGAAAATGAAGCCGGCAACTCCCCTGTGATATTATTTCCAGAAATGAAGCTGTAGGAACAAATGATTCACCACTTAGATAATGGGAAAATAAAAAATAAAAGGAATAAGGTCTGAGATTAGCTCATGGTGAGTTTCACTCGGGATCACAATCATGGAAAAAGGAACAACATATTTCAGAAATCATGCAAAAAAGATTATGTATGAGAAAGCAAATGCCATAACGAAACAATCAAAAAATACACACACAAGAATTGTGAAGTACCAATGAAAATTACCCCTGCTTCTTACTTCGAACTCTAAAGCATCTCGTATATTTTAGAAACAATAAAATCCCTTAATAGATAAAGTTAAAATTTTATTCCAAACCTCATTTAAAACGGTCAAATGACAAAAGACAGGAAATAAGGAAATTTTTGGTCTCCATAAAATGTATTGCATTCAGGTTTAAGCCATCAACACAGCGTTTTACCAAAGGAAATTTTCAAGAATTTAGAGCCATTTTCAGAAATTTTATTAGATTTCAGTGGGCAACTCTCTGTAGCTTCTATACATGTTTAAACCATAAGCGATCATTTCTATCATAATTTCGTACAAACATCTATATAAGAATCAAAAAAAGATATGCGGGAGAATAATCTTCATTTCCCTCTTTACTGTTCCCTCCTACATCCATCTACATATGGGCACAAATTAATTGAGCTTTTAAAATTGCAAGAATTTACAAAATGGATCTCCCGTTGGATCTTTGGTGACATTTATCAGAAATAATTTAAAAAATGACGGAAAAGGTACTAACAATCTCTGTAAGCTGATTACGTTACCAAGCTCTTCAGGAATATGACCTTCTAGTCGATTGTTTTCCAGGTTCCTGAAATATTCCGGTCAACAAAATTAGGTATTGCTTCCCAATGCAGTCGGCATTTAAGTCTAGAAAACATACATAGATTGAATTACAGGAAATCTTCCAAGCTCAGGAGGAATCTTTCCAGATATACGATTCCCCTGAAGTGACCTGCAAGGTCAAGGATCCACTGATAGGCATCGAAAGGAATTCCAGGTGACACGTACATATATTTGAAATTGGGGACGTCAAAAGTAAGGAATCTTACAAATTGAATAGAGGAAGGGTAGACCAGACACGTGGGATGGTTCCATTTAGGTAATTGCGTGATAGGTCGCTGTTAGCAAAACACTTCGGTCAGAATATGTGCATATAGCGGTCAGATGGTAAACTGACATTTAAAATTGAGCTAGCAGGGAATTAATTTGATCTATCACCATCACAAAAGAAATATCAGTAGAAAGATGTTCTATGGATGCAACATAAATCTGCTTTGACATGTCAGAAGAAGGTCAAGATTTTTAATCTACTGCAACTTTTCCTTCTACAAGTCATTGGCAAATAAAAAATGACTTCGTAAAAGATCAAATATGTGCATATAATCAACTGTTAGAGGATATTTTGCAGTCAGTGATGTTTAACAAGCGTAAATACCTAATTTATTCAAAGGTCTACTATTATTTGCCAATTCCATTTGAAAATCTATTTTTTTTAACTTCTGAGTGTATTTTTGCCCATTACTTTTATATCATTACAGAGCATTCCAATTTTTATTTTGTGGGTTATAGGTTAGTTGTTCAAAGATGGCGCCACAAATGCATGGTCTGATGAACAATGAGGTCTGAGCTTAGACATCTTTACCAAGGGATAGGCGCCCATTTGACCATGTCTAGAAGCATTTACACTCATAAAGGCGACTATACAACCTATAAGAGAATAATTTCATCTATGGATGATATGCAGAAGGTTGCCATTTGCTTGGGAAGAAGAAATGAAAATCGAAGGCGACAACTATCCCAGAAACTGGTGGTCGGAGAAGTAACAGCCTAGTTAAGGTACAACTGATCTAATCAAGTACTTGATGTTCAAATCTAACGATGGTCGTTAAAAATTCACAGTCATGTTCTCTCTTCCATTCTCGTGTCTCAAAGCCCGGAGATCTTTTTTCTTTTTCCTCCATTTCAGTTTTCGACGAAGTCGCGCCAAGGATGATGAGGTTTTACCTTCTTTCTTCCCCCAGTTTTGGTATTACTGCACGTAGACTAAGACTGAGCAGAGGACAACGGGTGTTCATCACATGTTCCTTCTCAGGAATCCAGGCGAGATTACTTACAGATATCTGAGGTGGGTTAGGTTGGCAATCTCTTCCGGCAGCACGCCTGTGAGGTTCTGCCTCAAGAGCTCCCTGCAATTTTCACCGCAACAACGAAGGAAAAGAAAACAGAAAGTCAAGGATCAACACACCGGTGAAAATCAAGCAAGAAATGGTCTTTTATGGTGAAAGAGGATGCGGTTTATGGCAAACGAACAAGCTGATGACGTGGCAGACGGTGGAATTCTCGAAGGAGCAGTCGCAGGTGACATTGCTGACCCGGGGCTTGGTTACATTGACCCAGCCGCCCTCCCCACGGCATGGGTCCACGCTGAAATTCCACTGATCCGCCGGCTTCCGCAGCTTGACGGCGATTTGCCTCAGCGCCTCCACTGCACGCGTTTGCGTAATCCATTATATTAACCCAAGTCCCTCTCTCTCTCACTCTCTCTCTCTCCAGATACGATCAAAGGAGAAAGTCGCGATCAGCGTCCGACAAGAGGATATCGACCTTATGACGGAAGCACCAGCTCTTGAAGAGAAAACAACGCCCCCTCGCCCACAGGAACTTTGACGGCAGAATGCGTCGCGGCAGCAAAGGGAGAAGATCCGCTGGAGCTCGCGAGGTAGGTGGCTCGAAAAAGGACGGCTTGGAAAGGCGTTATCAGATGGGGGCCCATACCGTTGACTTATACAGCTTATCTATTTAATCGTTATTCAAGACGGAATTGCTCCCCGGCATGCTCTACCTATTCCTACTTCACGAATCACGACAAGGATTGGTACGAGTGGTGGAAGTTGGAGAGAGACACCTATTTTGATTTCGGCTTCTTTTGTTCAGAATTTCGCGACTAAATCAAGAGATTTCAGACGGAAGTGATCCCTAAGATTCTTAGGAAGCCCTCGTTCTGGTTCAGCCAGAGGGAGGAGGAGACGATTGCCAGCGAGAATCGGTCGCCGGCCAGTCCGGAACGCGGCGCAGGAGGGATAAGAGCATAGGAGGAACGACGACTGTCCCTTCTCCGCTTTCTCTGCCCACCACTCCGTCGAATGTGTCATCGGAAGGATAAGGATAGAAATCGAGAAGGATGATAGCCCTAATTTGGCATCCAGAGGATGGCAGATCCAATAGAGATGGTTCGGAAGGCGGTGAAAGAGAGGTGGAGAGGATTCGCCGACGGCGAGAGTGGAGAAGATTGAGATCTGTACGTACCTTCTTTCTCGGGGAGCGTCTGCGCATCGGATCCATGGCCGTGGAGGCAGCAGCCGAGTACCAGAACCAGGAGTGCCAGGCGCACCACACTCATCTTCCCCACTCCCTCTGGCTTCCGGCGACAAGACGAACGGGAACTGAAGAACTCAGAGGCAATTCGCTCATCCATAAGGGAAGAAGAGGGACAGGACGAAGGCCTCTTCTCCCTCCGACCACCCAACCTTCACTCCGCGTACTCTTCAGCAGAGCAAGGAATAAACAACCTGGACCACTCTCCTGGTTAGGAAGAGATCGTCGAACTCTGCAAATAAACAACCCAGGGACTGCAGAGACGGAAGAAGAGGAGGTTCCAGGGGGAAGGAGCGGAGAGAGGGAGGGGAGGGGATCCAGCTGCCCTAAAGAGGTATTATGAATTGTGATATACGTGCATTCCTTCGCTGACCATCCGTGTCTCAGTGTCAACGGGCCCCAGTAGTTTATATTTTCCATATATCTACCTCTCAAAAAGTCAATCCTCGCCACAGCTCATCGCGGATTGTTCCCCGTCGGCATGAGGTCGGGAAGCCCCTAAATTTAATGAAATAAATACTTCGCGCCACGTCTTCTAGCAACAAAAAAAGAAAATCCGTCACATCGTGACAGCCGTACAAAAGTTGAAGCGAAGAACGGACTAGATTTTGGTTGACTGCTTCAGAAACCAAGGTAGATTCTTGCCCAGTCATAGTCTAATCCGGGTAATCCCCATTCTTGACAGATTCCCTTCTTCGGTGGCTTTCGGTCTTACCGACCTAAAGTCAATTCTCTGCTTTGAGTAGATCGTTTCTTTGATAATCTCAGGAGAGGTCCAACTGGGAACTTAGTTTGACAACTAGGCCGTCCGACGTGGCCGATTTCAACGCTTTAGCAAAGGATTGACTTTTTCTCCCAAATTCATGTCTTAGAATATTCATATCCTGCAAACCTAACCTCTCAAGAGAAGAGATACGGGGCCTCAACGATTGTCGGTGCTACATATTTTATTTGGCTTTACGATTACCAATTCAGGCCTTGACCGACCTAGTCCCTATTTGGGCCTAGGTTTGACTTTAACGGGTTTGACCTACATCCCCTTCTCTCTCTCAGATATATATATATATATGCATTTATATAAATAAATAGATGTATATGTATCTTGGTAGGTGGATAACAATGGTATCTTGGTATTCAATAGGGGTGAAGTTCCCTAATATGGACCTATACACCACCCTCCATCTCTTGCCGAGATCCTGGTATTCAGTGTGTCAAATTGCCAAATATGGACTTATAAGACCTCTCTCTCACTCTCTCGCTCTCTCTCTCGGTACACATCCATAAATATATATGTTTCTATTTCTTGGCAGTTGGATAAAAATGAGATCTTGGTATCTAAAATGAGTCATATTGCCAAATATAGAGCTATACACGCCGCCCGCCCCTCTCTCTCTCTTCTCTCCTGAGATAAAGATATAATTATGTCTGTATCTTGATAGGGGATAAAAACGAGATCTTGGTATCCAAAATGGATCAAACTGCCGAGTATGGGCTTAGTAAAGGGCGAGCTTCTGGGTATGATTCCCGAAACGAAAAACATCAGTGTGAGTCGAAGCAGGGCACCTGGGGATGGCACAGGATTCGGCGAAGTTTCAGGTGGTGGCGGCGGAGGCTGAGGTGTTCTTCCCGAGGCTCCTCAGAAAGGAGCCGCTCTTGTAGATCTCCCTCAGGGGCCTGTCGGTGAAGCGGACGAGATTGTACGCCCAGGCTCCCCCCACGGCCCCACCAATCGGCCCTACAACGTAGACCCAAATCGCCTCGTACCGGTTCCCGACGATCGCCGGCCCCAGCGACCTCGCTGGGTTCATCGACGCCCCCGAGATCGGCCTGCGCAGATCGACGTGAGAAAGAAGAAGATGAAGACGAACAGTCTCTGGTTTCATGGGCGATCCCCATGGATTACCCACCCTGCGAAGAGTACGTTGATCAGCACTGTGGCCCCGACCGCCAACCCCGCGAGCTCGCCGATCTGTGCCATGGTCAGTAAGGAAGCTCGGGTAAGCACAGTTGGCCGGAATCCATGGAGGCGGCGGGGGGGCACTCACCGCTCGGTTGTCGGTGGCGACGCCGGAGATGACGAACATGAGGTAGAAGGTGATGATGAACTCCAGGGCGAAAGACTGCACGTTGGATCCCTGCGGGATAGTCCCCGGGAAGTGCTCGTGTTTCCCCCCGAAGAGGAGCCACAGGGTTCCGCTGGCGAGGGTCGACCCGACCACCTGGGCGGAGATGTACGCCGGAACCTGGCGGAGTGCCGTCCGAGAGATTAGACCTCCGGGAGATGAAGATCGCAGACCGCCGGCCGGAGAGGAAGAAGACGGGCAGCCGTACCTCTCTCCAGGGGAAGCGCCCGCAGGTGGCGAAGGCAATGGTGACGGCGGGATTGAAGTGGGCGCCAGAGATGTGGCCGACGGAGTAGACCATGACCATGACCACCAGGCCCCAGACGATGGAGATGCCGGGGAAGGTGATTGTCCCCTTGCTGAGGTTGACAGTCACTGATCCGCAGCCTGCGAAGACGACGAAGTACGTCCCAAAGATCTCGGCGATGATCTGGAGAGAATCGTTAGCGACGACCACGGAAAAAAAGAGAAGACGTTTGGTTAGGGCAGATCTCCCTCCCACCTTCTGCATGAGAGGAATGGAGATGCAGCAGCAGATCCTCCTGCGGCCGCGGGAGCTCTCGTCGTGGGCTTTCTCTTCCTGGCTGAACCCCGCCAGATTAGCTCCCCCGTCCCCGAGATGGATGGCGATCTCCTCCCCATTGCGCCCTGGAGCATCCTCTCTTCCCCCCATCTCCTCTCAACCCCCTCCAAAAATCTTCAGGCGGAGGGTACACACGGCGGACGAACCCCCCCCCACACCCCCCCCCCACCGCGGCACCAATTTATTCGCGAAGAGGATCTCCAGAAAGCAGCGAACTTGACGCCCGCAGTGGGATATCTATCCTTTTCTGCGCTTTCACACTTCTCCCTCTAGACGAGAGAGAGAGAGAGAGAGAGAGAGAGAGAGAGAGAGAAAGAGGGAGATCTGTCTGGTGCTTTAGAAGAGGCATTAAAGCCGGGCCACCAACCCACCGGGAAGTGAAGTCCCGGCGACCGGCGACGGAGGCGGTCGATGGGCGGTCCATTCAATCCCCGCAGCGTCTCACTCACGCGTGCCTTCAGCTTGGATGCGGTTCATCGCCTCCTTCCTCCTCCATCACTTTCCTCCAATCACATTGGGGATCTCGACGGTGACAGGAGGAGACGCCGGTCAAACCTCCGGCAACACAACTCCCTCGTCGGTCCTGCGCCATCAATCGGCATTTATGTCTCAGCCCACTCTTCTTGATCTCCAACTCCAAGGAGGAACCCACCCTGGTAAGTGTGGGAAGCGATCTGAGCCTGCGAATGGAGGTAGGAGGCGGATTGTCGTCTCCTTCCCCGAGATGGTGGTCGTCTCCATCCGTCTTCTTCTCCGAGGGGATAGAGTGACGTCACCGCGTTGCATGGCAACGGAGGGTGACGAGAAGACTCCGACACGTTAGCCGGATGGCCCGGTTATCCAAAGTAGAGATAGACTTTGCTACTTTGCTACTTTGCTCATTTACTTGACCAAAAGGGTCAGGAAACTTGTCTCATTTACAATTTTTGCCACTACCCGTTTCCATAGTGTGAAGCCAAGGGAGGTAATCTGGATGGGAAGGTAATCTGGATGGGAATGCTGCAGCCAACCCCCAATAGAGATAAGGACGCCAAATGAGGACAAAGTCTGACCGTGTAAATCTTCTATTAAAGAGAAGAAAACCGCACGTGTGGCTAAGACATTCCCTTGGTTAACTTTTACATACTTCATAGTTTTTAATGATAAGAAAAGAAGTAGAAGGGTAAAATCAGAATTTCTCACCACTATGATTAAAATCAGAATTTTTAATCGATATATTAGGAATAATATTAGCACAATATTTGCCTAACTCATATAATATTTTCACGTGATTTCAGAACTGTGTAACTTGTGTCTCCTTGTATTTTCATGAAATGAGTCAACTCTATGAGTATTACACTCAATAGTAAGAGAAGACACTGAAAAGGGTAATACAATAATTTTATATACCAAGTAGCTAACTCATTGGATCAAAACACTGCAGATGGAACAAACGTCAAAATTGAAGAAGATTTACTAAAGGAATAACTAGCATTTTTATATTAAGAAATGTTTGAATATTTTTCTGACCCTTTAAAATATTTGATTGTGTTGAAAATACTCTAATATAATCCATAAAATTTTATATCATTTAATACATAATTATTTCTTCAAGATTTCGATTTACGAGGGATAAAACATTAAAAGCTGTATTTCACTACAAGAGAAAACAAGAGTAGACTTTCTTGAGCCATGGTCAATGGAGTGCAACTCAAAGCAAGCATTTTTGAATATTTGTACACTTGGAATTTAAAATAAATACAAACATGAAATATTATTACCCAAGCTACGGAATCCCACCTGGCCCTTTTAGTTAAAGTCATAAATGGTCCACAGCCGTTTTGTCGTCACTTCCAAAACCAACCAGCAACTCTTTCAGTGACAAGAAAAATGCATAGAACCAATTATATCGCTCATAGTATCTCTTTCAGTTTTCATGAAGTGAGTTTTACTCTCATATGTAGAAAAGGCACAAAAATAGATAATCTGATATTTAAGATAAAAAACTTACCAACTCTTTGGACAAAAACATTGCTCGTGCAACAAATATCAAAATTCAAATATTAGATCATTTGAAAAAAAATCATGCATTAAAAATATCCGAATATCTTTTGAAAATATTTGATTGTATTGCAAATGCTCTAATATGATCTATAAAATTTTCTTAGCCCTGTAGATCTAATGTTTTTTCTTCAGGATTCCTTCCTTGCAGCTTGAAAATAAATTGACTCATGAGCCGCCTCTGAGAGATAATACGTTTAAAAGGTTTATCGCGCTGAAGACAAGATATCTAGACTTGAAGTAGCCATTTATGAACGTAAGTACGACTACATGAAATTAAAAAATAAATAAATCTTAAAATATCAGGCTACGGTCTTCTACCTGGTCCACAACCGTCTTGTCCTCATGTCAACAACCAACTAACAACTCCGAATGGCATGAAAAAATGCTTAGCCATAAACAGCGCTTCAATGCTTTAACTCATGCTGTTCTTCAAAACCAAAAGAAAAAAAAAAGAGACAACGGCAAACGTTTGCACGTCCTAATCGTTGGAAGATTTCGTTGTAGCATGACTTGGCTAGGACCGCCAAAGTAAACAAAACGTGTCATAGTGCTCATTAATGGCTTTTCTGTGGACGTCCTTGCTGAACAAGTTGCTTTGTTATTTGGAAATGAAGGTTTTACAGTCGAAGCTCAAGATATTCAAAATTTTAGATTCGCACGGTGTCGCTGTTCTAGTCCGAACTGATTTACATCAGGAGCACATACATGGAAGAACGGGACGAGTTCAGGCGGTGGATGAAAAACAGATAACAGGGAACAACGATCAGGAGATAGGACTCAGCCGGAGATCTCGATGGACTTCACCTCCGGCTTCTTCACCTGTTCCTCCTCCTTGGGGACGGTGACGGTCAGCACACCGTTCTCCATAGACGCCCGCACCAGATTCACCTTCGCGTTCTCCGGGAGCCGGAACCGCCTCAGGAACCCGCCGCTGCTCCTCTCCACCCGGTGCCACGTGTCGTTCTTCTCCTCTTTCTCCTTGCTTCTCTGCCCGCTGATCTGGAGGATGCGGCCCTCCTCCACCTCCACCTTCACCTCTTCCTTCTTCACCCCCGGGAGGTCGGCCGTGAAGACGTGAGCCTCCGGAGTTTCCTTCCAATCGACGCGGGCGGCGGCGAAGGCGGAGGTCTCGGAGTCCCATCCGCGGCGCGGGAGGGAGAGGGAGAGGGAGCCGTCGCCGCTGCCGAAGGGGAATCCCCGAGGAAAGGGGTCCCAGACATCCAGAGAGAAGGGATCGAAGACGTCGGTGCTCGGTCTCCCGAAGAAAGCTGGGATCAACGACATCTCTCTTTGCTCGAAGAGATCAGGCGAGAAGATTGCTACGAAGGGAATTGAGATGACGACTTTGGTTTGTGGATTGGTCATGGGGATGGATCCATTTATAGAGCGATTAGCGCGGGAGAGTGGAAAAGTCTAGAATATTTGAGATCGTTATATCCATTTATTTAATCTAATTGTTATTTAATAATTGCGCCTCTTTTAAAAAACCCAAGCAAGTGGAATTCTCTAGAAGATTCCTTTTTCTCGAGAAAGAACTCGAGTCCTCGCGAGACGAATTGTCCAAATTCTACTCTCTTCTCGAGATGCCTCTGCTCTAGAGGTTTCTATCATCGATAAATCGCAGAAGATCTCCAGGCTTCTCGCGAGACGCTCAAAGAGAATTCTCTGAAAGATCTCGACTCTTCTTGAGAGAAATCCCTGGATTCGTCGAGGCCCCAGTCGCTATAAAAACCTCGAGAGGTTTGACATATCCACAACGAGTCTGAGTGACAATAGTGATCATCATCTCAATTCCCTTCCCAGCAATCTTCTTGCCTGATTTCTTCGAGCAAAGAGAGATGTCGTTGATCCCAGCTTTCTTCGGGAGGCGCAGCACCGACGTCTTCGATCCCTTCTCTCTGGATGTATGGGACCCCTTTCCTCGGGGGTTCCCCTTCGGCAGCGGCGACGGCTCCCTCTCCCTCTCCCTCCCGCGCCGCGGATGGGACTCCGAGACCTCCGCCTTCGCCGCCGCCCGCGTCGATTGGAAGGAGACTCCGGAGGCTCACGTCTTCACGGCCGACCTCCCGGGGGTGAAGAAGGAAGAGGTGAAGGTGGAGGTGGAGGAAGGCCGCATCCTCCAGATCAGCGGGCAGAGGAGCAAGGAGAAAGAGGAGAAGAACGACACGTGGCACCGGGTGGAGAGGAGCAGCGGCGGGTTCCTGAGGCGGTTCCGGCTCCCGGAGAACGCGAAGGTGAATCTGGTGCGGGCGTCTATGGAGAACGGTGTGCTGACCGTCACCGTCCCCAAGGAGGAGGAACAGGTGAAGAAGCCGGAGGTGAAGTCCATCGAGATCTCCGGCTGAGTCCTATCTCCTGATCGTTGTTCCCTGTTATCTGTTTTTCATCCACCGCCTGAACTCGTCCCGTTCTTCCATGTATGTGCTCCTGATGTAAATCAGTTCGGACTAGAACAGCGACACCGTGCGAATCTAAAATTTTGAATATATTGTGCTTCCACTCTAAAACCTTCATTTTCAAGTCACGAAGCAACTGGTTAAGCGAGAACGTACCAGGACAGGCACATCATGAGCGCTATAGAGAATGACATATGTTGTTTGGTCTTCATGTAAGATAGACCCTTTTCGGCCACATTGTTTAGACTTCTCTTTCACCAAATTCAGATATATATTTGATTAAAAATATGGAATAAACAAATTCGTTCGCAGACATATATTTTATTAACAGATATATATTTCATTGGAATAAAAAAATTATAATCCATGAAATAAATTCGTCAAATCATATAGGTCTTGCCTCCGTACCTTCTTTCTACACTAATAATAAAGGAGTTGCCATCTTGTAAGCTTGTACTCGCTACTGGGAAGTACAATATTCTTTTTCTTCTTGTTTGTCAATTTCAATTATGTACAAGGACTTTGAAATTAAAATTTCAACAAATAATCTAAAAAATATTTGAAAATTCACTGTATTATCTCCAACTTACAAGGTTGTGCTCTTTTAGCTTGTTGTTCAACTAGAAAAATAAAAAATCACATTTTTGAGTT